AGATCCAGAACAGGACCAACGACCCATCCTCGAGCTGCGATGCGATCAGAAATCTTGCCCGCTCCTCCACAAATCTCAATGAAGTGGAAACGAAAGGCTCTCGGCCGGTCAGGCTCAGCTGCAGGCCACTCGCTACCAAAGGAATCCTCCTCTCGGTCCCAGTCCAGCTTCCTGACGATGGCTTCAGACCTCGTGAGCATTCTGGTGTAGCTAGCTTTCTTTCGGCCAGTCTTCCACAAAGTTCGAACCAGCTGAAGGTCCATAGGCCTAGACACCACCGCACCCTTTCGGTCTGAAGCATCGCAGACAAGTCAGTCACGAACAGGGGGCATAGTATGGCCGCTAGCTGGATCTCTTGAGCTGCTCCACGGGACATGGGGCATAGCTTTGGCCGATCTTGAGAGACCTCCTCCATGTTCACAATCGAGTAAACTTCTGAAAAGAGTGACATGAACGGCCTGCGATACATCAAACAGCTTGTCCAGCCTCCGATCAAACAAGCCCAGAGAGCATCTGAGGTCTGCGGCACCTTTGCCAACTCCAAGGAAATGAAAGCCAGCGAAAGCCTCTTCCGAGCAGGAGCAGCAACCGTAGCCAGACCAAGCCTGCGGACTGGAGGAGAGCTATCTATCTCGGCCCCAATGAGTTTTGCCTTTGGAGCGTCCCATATGTCCTTGTCATCAGAACCAATAATGCCCTCCTCCTTGTAGGTGTCCTTGGCGACGATGAGGTCTCTGACCGCTTTTGATTGGTATTGGTCACCCCTCAGGATCAAAGGAAGGCGTACCAGCAGGCAACCTGGAAATGGAGAAGAAGTCATCAATGACAAGCCCTGAAGCGTTCGTCTCACTCCACAAACTCGCCCCTGACCTCATCTCCTCCTTCTCAGCCAGCAAGCCTGCATCTTTGAGAAGAGACCGGTGCGCATCTGTTGCAAACTCTACGCCGAGATGGTCTCCTTGAGGGATGCTGCGAAAGCATAGCTGAAAACTGTCGGGCACCTCCTTCACAACTTTGGAAGAACCCTTTCCAGACTTTAGTAGGTCGCCATGAATGAGGCGGTCATACTTCCTCTTCTTCAGATTCCTCGAGCACCACTCCTCAAAGGCTTTCGTGGACTTTGCCTTCTCAAAGGGCAGGAGAGGGAAACATGCATTGGAAGCAGCTCTTCTCTCATTGACATGAAACTGGTGGTAGAAGTCTTTGCGATCCGTGCAACATAGGGAGAAGCGCTCGGAGCCTGGTTTGATCTCAAGGTCCAACAGACACTGAGCCGAGGGCAGACCAGGCGATACTGCAGTGCATCTTCCTTCAACATAGTTTCTGGCCCGTCGGTCTCCAATCATGCGGTCAACCTCTGATGACTTGTAGCAGTTGAAGAACCTCATAGCCAGATCACGACCGTCACCTGGAAGAGGCTCATCTCTCAAATACATGAGGCCTCGTGCATCCCAAACAGGAACAAGGCCGGCGACAGCTTCAGGATCCTCACGGTCAACACAAGGGGCTCCACTGGTCCTCAAATCTTGGGTCCAGAGAAGAGAGGCTGGCTCAACATAGGCCATCCACAAAGTATCAGAGAGGTAAGGCTCTGGGTCTCACTGGGCACTTCCTGACAGCTTCAAACGCTCCGGATCCAAAGAACGATAAGGAACCAGTTCCTCTGCGCGCGACAGATCACGGGGCACCACTTCAGCAAGACCTCGTGGGGCACCAGGAAAAGAGCGAAAGTAAGGATCTCCTCCAGCACCTTCCCACGTCAGAAGTTCAGAAAGGTCGGAAAGGAGCGAGACCAAAACAGGTAGTCTTCGGCCACATGTAGGAACTTGAAACTCTTCCTGACAGCTACCGAAGGCCTTGAGCAGCCTCTTCACATTTCGAAACACTCGAACTTGGGCTTCAGTGCCAGTAGTTGGGCGCCATGATGATGACATGAAAGGCCTGATCAACTCTGATCTTCCTCCTCTGTCTTGCACCACATCTCAAGGGCCCAAAAACACCAAGCTTCGGAATAGGCAGAGGGAACAAGGCCTTTTCGCTTGCCGGAGCAAGCTGAACTTGGCAATGGAGAATCGACTTGAGGAACTCAGCAAATGGAGTTCCAGAGGCAACCAGGCTCGGCGCGAACATAGAGGCCCACCTTGAAAAAGAAAATACCTGTAGCTTTGACCATGGAGCATGGCCCTCTGTCGGACCTTCCTCATTGGCTTCAGGACAGGTAGCAGAGCTCCGCGAACTTGCAGCCTTGCAAGGTAGATCAAATGCTACCTCGGAACATAGGCCGGAACCTAGCTCATCAGAGCAGCTCGTCATGCAGTCAGCCATAGGCCCGTGAAGGGCCTTGCTCATGAAGTGCTCTCCTCCTGCTTTCCTTCGAGGTTTCTTCTTCCATGCATCTTTGTCGTCCTGCTTCTTTGGGCCTCCCATGGGATTTTCTTGCTTCTTCACTCCGAGGGACTCCTGCCTCCTGCTGAAGCTGCTCCGTGATCGAAGGGATTGCCTCTGAAATAGCCGCTAGCTGCTCTGCCAGAGATGCCGTAGTGATCCTCTTCGAGGGATTGGCAGCCTTCGCCTTGGCCCTTCCCTTCTTACCTCCAGCCGGGGAGGCCGCAACAAGCTCCTCCTCCTCTGCAGAGTAAAACTTCACTCGATCTCCTCCTTCTTCGACCCAAGAGTAGGCGCTCATGATCAAAGCATTGGCCTCGGGGAAAACGTCCGGATTGCCCGGCCAGAAAGCAACAATGTCCTCGCCCTCGGCCACAGGATCGAAACCCCTGAGGTGCTCCAGGATTGAACTGTTGAAATCCATCAGCAAGCAGTCTATCTCTGAATCCAAGGGCGTCTCGACACCATTCTCCTCCTCCAAAATTGCTGGCAGAAACTCTCTTCGAAGGACCAATGAGGTCCGCCATCCCCGAAGAGTTGCCACCATCCAGGACCTCGTCGGGAAAAAAGTCCATAGGCTCTGCACACATCAACCCATCCTTTCTCTTCATCAAAGGGAAGACAAAGGCCTCCTTTGGACCAGAGCTGTAGCCCCATTCGGAAAAGTCCAACCTCACCACATGGAGCAAATGGATGCCCTGATCCAACGTCTTGACATCTTCATGGTGGTCATTGTCCCCGTGACTCAGGGAAGAAGAATCCCGCCGCCAGACAATAGACTCTGCCTTCCGCCTGCGATGGGAAGGAATGAGAAATAGATCCCTCGATCCTCGAACTGGGGCAGCAACTTGAAGTACTCCGCAGCGGTGTCCACTCGGACAGGAGGAACAATGCCAGGACCACGCAAAATGATGTAGCAAGCAGCTTTCTGAGGGATCTTCGGAGTAGGTCTTGGCTTTTGAACCTTTCCCTCAATGCAGGCCTTGGCCCAACAGCCAGCCTCCCAGGCTCTCTGTGCTCTTGCTCGAACCTCCTCCTGAGTGCCCCCAAGCCGACCACAAATGTCCAAGCAGTGAGCAGGTAGAGGAGGAATGGAACAAGCCACCTGCTCGTAGGCAGTCCCAAATCTGGTAGATGCCCTTGGCGAGGATGAAGGAGGAGCAGCAGAGCTCCCAAGACCCAGTTCAGAAGGGTCTTCCAAATCCCAATCACGAAGATCAACCTCGACCAGAGGTGCAGAGGCAGCCCGATCAGCAGCAGCCTCAAGAGAGTCAGCCAAAAGGCGCAAGGTGCCAGCGGCAGCTTTGACAGCGTTAACCAGCAAGGCGACGGCGTCGCTCATGAAGGTACGCCGAAAGGCGTAGCGTTGAGGCCGAGGTAGAAGAGCGAGAAGTGACCTCCTCAGAAGGGCAAGCAAACGAAGCAGCCAGAGGATGGAGGTAGATCCAAAGTCCAGCAAGGGTGGTGAGGAGGCTTCCGACGCAAAAGCCGGAAACAAAGATGCAGGCCTGAAAGGTCCAGCTAGATCCGCAGTGCGCGGGACAGGATATATAACCCCCACCAACCGGATATGGACCCCCACTGGATGAACTTAAGCGCTTCAGCGAGCGCCTGCTGCATGTGAGCTTGAGGCGAGGCGAAAACATTCAAGATTGTCCATTCAAAAAGTAGTCTCCCGATGAATTGCATCTGCATGGTTCTACGGACTGATATGCGGACTACATGTGTCGAATTTGCGCAGGAAATCGGAGTGTCACGGAGCATCGCAGCAAACCAGTTGAGATGCCATCCGTTCATGGCCCCCTTTTCATCCTTTAAATCAGCCCAAAGAGGTGGAAGCTGAAATGCACAAATGGCAAAAACGATGAGTGCCACGTGGTTGTTGCAAAAAACAATGCTGCACCCCATGTATGCAAAATGACTGTTGGGAAAACGTATGATTTGCAAAAGCCCAAACACATGGCATATTGCCCACTTTCTTCTGATGCCAACGACCACAGAACCAACTGATTGACCTGGTGTTGTTCGTTACGCGTCAACTTTTTTCACTTGCCCGTCCAAATGGTGGTCTATCCATGGCGAGGAATGATATAAAACTTTGGCCGGGAGAGAAAAAACATCTGCTTTGCAAACATGCAACCAAATGCGGCTGGGTCATGAGAAATTGAGAAAGCCAACAAATTTGACGGGGAATCCTGTCCTTCTGCCACCTTCTGACACCCAACCTGTATTGCAAACCTCTTGTTTCACAAATCAGGCTTGCAAGGCATCTTGCAGTTGAAATTCTGGCTACGTGAATCAAACCCTGTGGGCGGCGTCTATGAACCTTGTTGCCAAGCGCCACCACCGGAATTGACTCCGCAAAATGGGCGTGGGTCAAACACATTGCTTCAAGATATTTTTGTAAAAAGGGAAATGCTAAATTCTAAAACCTGCAGTGCCCTGGTCCTTGTCTTGACCCGTACCCAATCAGCAGGCGACTACAAGCAGTCGCAAAATTATCATGCAAAGGCAAATGCCAAGCTTCTGGCATTGGAAAGTCAGCAAGAAGGCTGAGCAAAGTGCAGGCTACGCCAATTGGAATATAAAGGATGCGCAACTTGCTCTATAAGTTTTGCACGAACATACGTTGACTGACTTTCCGTCAAATCCCACAAAAAGTAAACTCCCACTAACTGCAACCTACCTCCTAAACATACAACTCGCCAAAGCCCCCATAGCTGCAGCTTCAAAGTTGGGACAAGTCCATCCCATCCCAAAGGTCATGTCGGTCCAAAGGGTCCAGCTCGTTGAATTGCCGCACGTATTCGGACGCATAGGCGAACAAATCCTCAGTCAAACTACTCGTAATCGTCTAAGATCTATCATGCCATCGTGCAGTAAAACACTAGTTGACCTTCAGCTGGTTGGCACACGATAAGAATTGCGCTCTGCAAGTCAAGCATCCACGTCAGGGCTTGTATTCTTCACAGCCAGCCTAGGCAGGGGCAGGTGTACATGTTACATGTCGCAGCTCTCAGGAAGGAAAAGGGACTCAACCAAGGACACGACGGACACGACTGCCGCTGAAACAACATCCGACATCACACTCTGCCGAGCAACTCTTGAAAGCGGCTGGCGTTGAGCAGCAGCAGCCTGAAGAGCGAACGAACCATGACACAAAAGACCACTAGAAGGTGCTTTTTGTAAAGACCGGGCGGGGGGGGGCCGCTAGAAGAGGAGAAGAGAGGTTAGTTGAGGTAGCTTAAATAAGTTTCTAGCAACTGGACGCAGGATAGTTCACGTTTCTTCAAGGAAGCACTCGCCCTAATGATGTGGTTCCTAGATTTTAGGCAAACTTAATCTCAATGGTGCCAACAGCCTTGCTCGAAGACTTGCCACACGAAGTGTTCCATGATGAAGCCAGTCTGTCCAAAGCACCTTGGAAATGAAGTCCAGGTGCGCAAAGTTGGAAACAACCAACTATTTGCGCGTGCATTTGGAACCTTCGTGTTCAAATTGCATCCAAGGCCGTCCGGTTGAACCTGAAAAGACACAAGCAACCCGCCGGCCAGTGCAGTCAAACGGCTGGCTCAGCCGCATGCTGCCCATGATGCACTGGGATGGGTTCATACCTCCCACTGCGAAAGTACATGAGGCCACCCTCGTTGGCAAACACCATGCGCGGCTCCACCGGAACTTCTCCTTTCGGGACACACCACGACTAGGTAAAACTCCAACTGTGGCTGCAACCACTTACTTGCGTTACAACAGGCAACTCCTGCTAGTGCTGCGTTTCAGCTGGCAACGTTGCTACTACTTCTGTCCCGATTTTTGGCTCCAATGTTTTTAAAAGGGAACCCACGAACCCGAACGCACACACGGACCCGAAAACAAACGGCCAAACACTGCGTGACACTCTTGTAGAAAACGCTCTTGTAGAACACCTTTGTGGGACACTCTCGGGCGACTCTTGTGGGACACCTCTTGTGGGACACTCTTGCAGGACACCGCCCAGAAACCGCTTCCCGCACTACATTTGCACTATCAGGTTGCCACCCCCCAGAAGCTGCTTCCCATATTAGATTTGTACTATGAAGTGGCCAGTTCTGAGGCCAGCTCCCACAAGCTGCTTCCCCTACTACATGTTCTGAGGTCACGCACAATCTTGTGTGAAACTCTTGTGGGCAATGGGCAAGGCAACAATTGACCAGCACGTCAGAAGCAAGACTGGCGTCAGAATCAGATCGCACCTTTTTGTAAAGGGTTGGGCAAGTGAGTCACACCTCAGCTAAGTGCAGCCTTGGGGCCCCACAGACTCTGAGGTGTCAAATTTCCTCCTTCTGAGTCACTGCCCGTCTGATCCAACTTGCGGAGCGCATGACTCTGACAACGATGAGGAAGAAGATGTGGAGGACTCTTCATAGGACTCCGAGGTCTTTGAGCGTTTAAAACTTAAAACATTTGGCGCGAGATTTACGATCTGGTGTCGCGGCATCTGTCAGTTCCTAATCTGGTGGCGCCAAGCGAATATGGCCATGAACATGCTGCACGCTAAAGGCAGTGGGGCAGGTGGGAACCTGAACGTGCCACTTTGCGAATGCGACCTTTTGGGGCCATGTTCACGACGTACAAAGGGCATGATGGCACTGCTGGTACCAGCTCGTTCGCGGCTTCACAATCCGCCAACACAGTGATGGCTTGGTCCGACGAAAGAGTCGAAGCGGTGTGCTGTTCGGCATCTGGAACTTTGGCCCTTGCTGCCAGCGATGTCCGAAGTGTAGCTTCTTGGGCTAGGCCATGAAGCTGAGATAACGGTGCTTCGCATACGTATCGCTTGAAGCAATCCGATCCCAGCTAAATGGACCGCCCTTGCGCCGCGCTCTGTGTGTCCTGTAAATTTCCGTAAACCGGCGCCGGCGCACGGCTTTAACTTGAGCTCCGAGGCTGAGCATTGCACCACGCGAGCTGGTCCTCCACTAGGTGGAATGGACACAGGGCGTTGCGACAGGCCTCGCAGGTGCACATGTGCGTGGCGAATGGTGCCAAGCGAACGGCCAATCTGCTGGAAGGCAGCTTCCAATGCGTAAGCTTGTTCTCATAACCCATAGTGACATGTTCGACTCTTGAAGCTTCAACTTCTCGTATAAGCCACCATGAGGCCAGAAGGGTCGCCCTAGTGGAGTGAGCTGGTCCTCCAGTTCCTATACTTTGCACAGATGATGTCAAGGTCGCTAACTCTGACACTTCTTCATCTCTAGACCAACGACTCGTGTGGGGCACTGTATGTCCCATCCGGCCTGGTCCAGGTTTGAGAGGGTGATTGCAACTGTGGACATAATAATCTTTGTTGGCTTGACTTGGTGACTTCCGCCCACCCAGACGTTGAACTTCTTTTCAAGGGGATTCGATGCTTGAATCTCGGCAAGCCTGGCTGACAGCTCGTTGAGTTCCTCTGCCGGAGTCTATCTGAAAGGTCCTCTTGTGGGACACTTGTCGGACACCCTGGTGGTACACTCTTGCGGGACACTCTTGTGGGACCTGTAGGACACTCTCGTGCGACTCTTGCGGGACACTCTTACTACGTTTGCACATAGAAAGTCCGACTGCTTGCAACTGCACTGAACGCACACATGCACATGCAACATGACATGTGTCACAAAGGTCATACACAAAGCAAGCGGCTAAAAACAAGCAATTTGTCATCTGCTGTAGCTTTAACCTCCTCTGCTCTAGTGGTGGGCACACCACAAACCCGCACCAGTCCTTGAATGAACACCAGGTCGCCATACGAGACAATTGCCAAAGTGATGGCTGTGTGGCATAGCTGTTTTACCAACTGTGTGTTGATCGGCTCAAAAAGCCTCAAGCAACGCATCAAATATTCTGAAGACATGCCAACACATGGATGACAAGGACTTTTCATTTGACATAGATCCATATCCGTTTCTAGTTGTTTTTCGACTTGTCATACACTGGATGGCTGCAGGAACACAAGTCTCCGTCGTTTTTGTTGCGACTTGGCCCACATCTACCGTTTGTCTTGCAGCATTCATAGTGAGCTTGTCATCATCTACAGCAGCCAAGTCGCGGATGATGGCGAATGCTAGGGCCATACATCTCACAATGCAACTCCATGCGCAAATTCTCAGAGACTAAATCCAAGAATTCCACCTGACAAACACCAAAAAAAAGCGTCACCTTCTTTTGCACGATGCAGCTAACAAAGTAGTAGAGATTTGACAAAATTTGGGATTGTCGCTTCTAGTCGTCCTCGGCCATATACAACACCAAGTGAACGAGAAAAGGGTTGGCGGCTGACCAGTTCTGAGCCTCCATAATATGTGGCCACCTCGAGGGTTCTACACGGTGCTATTTGAGGCTCACAGCCACTGGCTGTGAAGCTGCGCAGGGCTGAGGCCAGTTTGTGATTCAGCACCTTTAGATCTCACCTAATCTGGGAGCTGCTTTGCTTTGGCTTAGGCCTCAGCAATCTGCCACACCCTGCTGTTGTGCTCTGCCCTGGCGACATTTCGGGTGGCTCAGCTACCGTATTCTGAGCTGAGCTGCGTTGGTCTGTATCCCGAGGGAAGCTGTTTCGCTCTGGGCTACTGCTACTCGCTTCTGGTGGTCTGTCCCGCATTCTTAATTACTTCTGAGCACTTCAGGCTGTGGCATGTCAAATCACAACGATCAAAACTACTCAAAACTTGCCAGCCCAAACAATACCTGTGGCACTTTCCAATCACACAACAGTATCCCGTCTGCAAACTGGCTGTCCAAATTGCTGGTTGCCCGCCTCCGATTCAGGCACTGCGTGCTGCTGAACAGTCAGAGTGGTTTTCCTTTGGGGCAGTGTGCTGGATCACTTACTCCACACATATTGAAGTTCAAACCTAGTTGGCGTCTGACATCCAAGGAACAAGTTGGAGTAAATGCGAGCGGTAAGTTGCCTGGAAATCCCGTTGTCCTGGAAATCAGTTGATTTTTTAAAAAACACAACAAACACCTTAAATTAAAGATGACGCTATCTTGACTTGCCGCACAGGCACGATAAGAAACCACCGGAGCACTCTCTGATGAGCCGCTTGCACACCTGTGATGAGGTGCAACCTGCGAGAATCGCGAAATGAATCTCAATCGAACAGGCATGTCTGCACGAAAGGCTTGAGCATCAAGCCTGGTCATGGCTGATGTGATGAACGAAATGAAGACCACTGCCAGCAGGTATGCCAAAAGTAGATAGGTAAATGCAAAAATCCGTTCCTGCAAACTGCCAAGGGAATGAAGATGGTTCCACCATGCTTCGCCTTGTTGCAGAATAATTGAAGCTCGGGAAAATGCAAGGTCCTCCAGTGTGTAGGGAAACAACTCCATCGTCCCATGAAACTGAGCCAACGCCCAATGAAAAGCTACGCTGTACCTCGGCTGCTTGAGTCCACCAAGCATCATCGCCCCTTCACGGGAGCTTGCCAGGTTTCTATAACTTGCCCAATTACACAAAATGATAAGAACATAATAAACAACAAAAAAGTGAAGGGGAGGCTCCCTTTAAATGAGCCTTACTACCTTACCGTCCTTTTTATATCCTTCTCTTGTTTTCACAGCAGGAAACTACGTGAGGGTGTCAGCTCCTGCCCCACATCCCACCATGCTGACATGTTGCTGCTCCACATCACTGGCGCCAGGCCGGTGTACTGTGACCCAGCCCCCATCTTGGCGCCCAAGCGCGACCCAAAAGCATGCCATGAAATGCAAGAAGACCATCAGCCACAAGATCTTGCCTCCAAATTCACACCGGTTCCAAGGCAGGATGGTTCCAATTGAAAACTCGTCCTGTAACGATCATATAAATATATATTTAGTGTAAACATAGAAATATATATATATACACATACATACACTGGGCTCACTGCAAGAGAGCAGTGCCTGATATGCCAATACACAATACAGCACGTTCAGATCCTTGGTTGACTGGCATGCGTGGAGTTCGGCAGCCACCTGCTCACATAAAAACTGCTCCGAAATGCTGCCTGCATTCACAACACGGTATCTGCTTTCATTTGCCAATAACCTTTTGAATTGCCGTTTGGACGGCCACTGGTCATAGACTGATAGGCCAAGCAGTCGTGATTCATGCGACCTCACAAACCTGAACAAAAGAACCTCCCAAAAATGCATAATCTGTTCTGTTCTCCTGTGAGGCACTGAGCCCAATTGGTTCCCAGATGGCAGAACGATTCCCAGGTACACTAGGTTGTGATGCGCTGGCTGAGGATGTTGCTCTGCAACTCTGCACGTTGTGTCGCGTGCACTGTCAATCAGGAGGCATTTGATTGCCCTGAATTGTATGAATGAGTCATTAATTATATATATAAGTGTCTCCTACTTGCAGCATCAAACTGCTCAGTCTGCAAACTTCCGCAACTTGAGATGTCGTTGCACATGTCTCTTGGCAGCTGCACGCCGCACAAGGAACACTGTCAACACGGATTTGTCACGAATTAAGCCTATGTACTCTTCCTCGCTGTATTTCATCGGAACCATCAACGGCAGCTTTCACCTGCCACTACTTTCTCAAGTTTTTCGTACCTGGGCCTTATACGCCCGCGTGCAGCTGAGTTCAGTGATGCACCGGGCTGAGCGCTGTGCCAAGGCTGGGGAGCTGCTGTGTTGGGGCTGAGTCTTGAAATCTTGTGACGTTGGTCTTTGACACTATCATTTTGAGCTCGCAAAAACCCTCGCGCACAGCAATGGGAAAGGTTGATGTGGTCTCAGGTCGTGGTTCCCTCACAAACATATCTGCACAGTCCCGCGCCCAAAAAAAATTGTGAAAAGACTTCAATTGAACCTAATGCCGGCTTGGGTCAAAAGGTCCACGCAATTGGAAACAAACTGCTGGGATTCACAACGTTTCACAAGGGCATACTCTTACCAAGCATATGCTGCTGAGCAACGGATATTGTTCGAAATGAGCTGCAGAATGGCCTCGAAACAACACAAACACAGTTTCTACGTGAGAGGTGACAGCCTCACGATGCCTGACTGCACACCATGGAAATGAAACACATGAGACCCGACGCCTCAATCCGCCACAAGCGTGCGAGTCTCAGGATGCGCACAAGCTGGAATGTCCTCAGTCATGCGACCAACGCTACATGCTTGAGACTGACTGTCCGTGGGGCTGCCAAGCTTCTGGGACGATACGAAGAGTTCAACCCAGCTCAGTATGGCAAGCACTACATCTGGCAGGAAGAAACCTGGCCAGTCGGGCGCTACATGCTACATCCACCCCTTTTGAAGCCGCAGAGCCTGTGAGGTACTTGCGGAACGTGCGGGACAATCGTGTCTCCCAAGTTCCGTCAAGACCTGGGCCAACATTGCCCCGGCCCCGCTTTGCAACGATATCTCTTTCGCTGGAGGTCCACGGCTGTGACGCAGACACAAGAAACAAGGAATCCACTCAATGACGTGTTTCCTGTCCACCATCATCAAGGAACAACCAGAAAGCAGCACAATTACACTTCGTCGACCAAAAAGTGCGGTCCTTTTGATGCTTCAAGGGGCGGTCTGTGGTATATTTCGGCTTGCGCGTGTCATCATGAACTGCACGTGATCATGAAAGGGATGTGAGCGCTGTTTGTGTTCTTTCACACGCTCTCCCCTTCAGGACCGTTAGCTTTCAGCTATGGGCCCAACCTTAGGCACTCATGGCCCATAAAGGGAAGAGCTCCTGTATTGTCTCAAAGGTTTGCCACCGTTCTCGCTGTCTTCCCCTCCGGGCGTAACGGTGCTAGTTTGCAAGGGGTCCAAGTCTACGATGTCTAACATGATCATATACACTTGTATAAACCACGCTGCGAAACACTGTCGCCAAACCGTGATGTCTGTCGATCCACAGATCTCCTGCTGCTGTGAGGGCCCGGTTCTTCGCCCAAAGTCAAGGGAGCTTGCCCCGACTCCACCAAGTTGATTTGTTCTGCCATAGGGTCATTAAGGTTTGGTGGTGGACGTCGCCCGCAGCCAAACAGCTCGGTCTCGGAGATCAAATCCACTTCCGTCTCGTCTAGTTGCGACAAGACTTGGGTAGCTTCTCCTTTCTACCTGCTCCTGACGATGTTGCACCTGGGTTCAACACTGGAACCCCAGATGCGGACGTCATTCTTGTAGTCTTCTACACCAGCTGTCTTGAGAATCGGCGTAGATCGCCTCCTTCAATGTTGCGAAGCGCGCCTGGCCCCCAGTGACGCCAACGCAGGTAGCTGCATCACCAATTGTCTTCACTGAGCCTAGCTCCTCCATTGGGGCCTCCATAGACGCTCGCGCGCTTTCTGTATCTCAAGACAATCACTTCAAACCCAGGATGTTGCTCACCCGCCTTCCTGGGTCTTGGTGTTTCTGCACAGCGCCCACACTATGGCCAACACAGGTTGACGATCAAAACGTCAATCAGGCCTCCTTCCTCGATGAGCTAAAATTACGGGCCCCACCAGTTAATTTTGCGGGGCTCTGCAGCAGTGTGGCTTCACCTTGAGCCAAAATGGCTGCCCACCGGCATTCACTCCACGTTTGTTCCTACATGTTCCCACAAGAAGAAAGGATGGATTTGGAAGCACAACACAACCTAGGCTTTCATGTTCAATTGCAGTTCACGATGGCACGCACAAATCAAGGTTTCATGAAACATCAAGACCAAAAGCCAAAACAGAAGCAGCAAAGCAGCAGCGCTCCCTTTTGCAGTTTGGTTGGCTTTTCCTTCCATGGTCATGGTTGAGACTCAAGTGTCAGACTGGGATGGCACCCAAAACCGCCACCAATCCCAGTTGACGCGAACAAGAGCCATGGAGGAAAGCAGACACCGGGCACCCTGAGCAAAACGGCCCCATGGGCGTCGTAAAAAGGGAAAGATTCAAAAGTTGAAAAATCCCGAGCTGCTCCACCATCCTTTGTCACCAGGGATTTCAGGGCCCATGGCGCCTGTCCCCAATGCCACCTATGATGGCTGGCCAGCCTGGTGGAGTTCGCGAATCATCAGAGTACAGGTCTTCAAGGGGATGAGATGTCTGCAGGCGTTTCGCCGGGTTTGAAGCTTTAGTCACCTGACCTCCCCTTGATGTCTCATCGTCCACTGCATCCTTCATCTCGCCCGAGCCAGGTTCAGTGGCGTCGACGATGTCGTGAGGCTGTCGCAAAAGGCCTCCTGCTGGGCCTGACTCTTGGCAACAAAGAAGGTTTCCAAAACGCGTTCCGCAAGAGGCTGGGTGTCTGGAATGTGCCCTCGTTGACTGTCACCTGGGAAACCCGGGGCGGAGAGAGACCTTGATGGGAGGAAACCACACGAAGGCATTGAGCGGCACAATGGTGTCGGAGCCCAGCACGAATTCGCGCCACTGAACCACAGATTCCTCGCACGGCGGACGTACCCTTTTGCTTGCGAGGGCGAAGAGGCGGTTCCGCCGGCGCACTCGATGCAGGCGGAATCACTGGGTCGATGTCCATGGGAGCTGGCGCTGCAGCCGCAGATGTAGAAAAGGTCAAAGTCGCGGCAGCCGCCGGACTCTCCTTGCATGTTTCAGAGCCCGCGGCGTCTGCACCCGCAGGAGGAGTCACGTGGAGCTTGGCCATGGCAGCATCCATCTCTTGCATCTTGGCGGCGAGCGCCTCCGGCATGAGCAGTTCACACACTTGACATAGCGCATCATCCTGGGGACCCGCGCGGCCCGGGTCAGGTGGGGCGCCGGAAAGGGCACCAGCGGCACGGCCTGTCCCTTCCAAAATCGTTTCCTCGACTCGTCGAATTTCCTATTCACGTTCCTCCACCTTGGAGGGGTCCAGAGAGAACGAAGTCACAGTTGGAGCGTCGTCCATCAGCTCCCAGTCAAAAATTCACGAACCAGTAGCAGACATGGCTTCAAGAGAATGAAAAGAAGGAAACAGGGAGTGGAAGTTCACTTCGAAAGGGCCCAATCTTGAGCCAAAATGGCAATGCAGGCTAGTGAAATGTACTCATGAAACATAACCTGCTTTACGCTGGTTCCAAGCACGTACTAAATATACCGCAGTCCGCCTTTGCAGCATGGTAGCGGAGCGGGGCATCCCACTGCTGAAGCTCTGGTGTCCCATATAATAACGGATCTTCTTTCGGGCATGGTGGAGGGATGGTTCTGCGCTTCCAAGATGACGCCAAATGTACACGCACGATGGAGGATGGTTTGGATCGGAAACGCTGCGAAACCATGAAACCACCAAATGCAACATCTCTCAGCAACCCTCGGTGTTCGATGATCCTGCAGAACCACGCGTGACATGATATGAAGATGAAAACCTGCGTTTAGATGCATTGAGCCAAACAGTGTGTGAGGTCTATAAGCAGAAAGTCTAGAGATCTAGACGCATTGGGGTCCAGAGAGGTGATGGTGGTGATGAGGTGGGGATCGCGGCGATGGTGGCCATGGTGGTGACTGAGTGTGAGTGTCAGCGCGCGCGTTTGAGTGAGAGTGAGAGTGGGAGTGGGAGTGAGAGTGAGAGAGAGTGAGTGTGAGTGTGAGCGTGAGTGTGAGCGTGAGTGAGCGTGAGTGAGTGTGAGTGTGAGTGTGAGTGAGTGTGAGGGCGAGAGTGAGAGTGAGAGTGAGAGTTAGAGTGAGAGTGAGGGTGAGGGTAAGCGTGAGTGTGAGTGTGTGTGAGTGATGACAAGTGTGTGAGCGAGTGAGAGTGCGAGTGAGAGTGAGAGTGAGAATGTGTGAGTGAGTAAGAGTGAGGGTGAGAGGGTGAGCATCTGAGAGCACAACATGCTGCGTCACGCCGAAATCTGTTCACAAACTACTTCTTCGCCTGCCACGAAATCTGCACTTCGAGGTTCACCAAGCGCTGCGCCTGCAACGAAATCTATATATACTTCGAGGTTCACCACGCGCAGTGCCTGCCACGAAATCTGCTTCGAGTTCACAAAGCGCTGCGCCTGCAACGAAATCTCCCCTTCGAGGTTCACAAAGTGCTGTGCCTGCCACGAAATCTGCACTTCGAGGTTCACCAACTGCTGTGCCTGCCACGAAACCTGCACTTCGAGGTTCACCAAGCGCTGCGCCTGCCACGAAATCTGCACTTTGAGGTTCAGAACGCGCTGTAGCTGCCACGAAATCTGCACTTCGAGGTTCACAAAGCGCTGCGCCTGCCACGAAATCTGCGCATCGAGGGTCGCAGAGCGCTGCGCCTGCCACGAAATCTGCAAACGAGCCACATGTCCAAAAGTCACGCTTTCCTACACCTGTCACGAAATCTGAGCTCCTCGACAATCACCACCATGTCCAAAGTGCTGCACCTGCCGCGAAAACTGCATATCGAAGTAAAACAGCTCCGATCCCTTGCGCCTGTCACGAACGGTCGACTTTGGAGCGCCAAAACTCGAGGTTTCCCTTGCGCCTGCCACGAAAAGTTGCCATCATGTGGAAGAATGCGCACGGCGCCACAACGAGAGCGCAGTTGCCAGCCACAACGAGAGCCACAACCAGATTCTGCAAGCCTGCGCAGTGGAAATGAACTTCGAGGATTTTGAGAGGCATGAATGCACTATAAACAGCAGCGAATTAGCCGGACACGGCCGCGCGGCGCAGCGATCTAAGCACAGCTGCTTTTCACTCACCGTAAGAACCCCTAGTGTGTCCACACTGTTTGGGGAAAAACACAGCAAGTGCAACGGAAAAAGCATAGACAAGTGGAGATCGCTCTAGATAGAAACAAAGCTTTGCCAAAGGTACCTGGGTGGAACCACGCCAGGTGCACCGGATAAAAGAACAGCTGGGTGTAACCATGCCAGATCTCTCTATAGAAAGAAGAGCACACACAGGAGAACTACAGAAGTCTAAAGAGCACACATCTGAGAGCACAGTCACCAGGGCACGCAGCAAGTGAGTGAATGAGCGAGTCAGTCTGAGCGTGAGTGAGAATGAGAACGCGTGTGAATGAGAGTGAGGGTGGGCGTTGTGTCATGAGTGTGAGTGAGAGCGAGAGCCAGAGTGAGAGTGAGGGTGGACGTAGTCAGCGTCAGAAGACAGAGGTCTAGATGTCGGGAAAGCATGGGAGAGCAATGGGAGTGAGTGTGGGCGTTATGAGTATGAGTGAGAGCGAGAGAATCAGAGTGAGACTGAGAGTGGGCGCACGTAGTCAGCGTCAGAAGACAGAGGTCTAGATGTCGGGAAGCCGGTTTAGAGAGCACACATATGAGAACAAGCTAGGGTTTCAGAGGTCTACAGCAGTCTAAAGAGCACACATCTGAGAGCACAGATCAAGTGAAGCGAGATTGAGAAGTGCTGCGCCTGCCACGAGATCTGCACCTTGAGGTTCACCAAGTGCTGCGCCTGCCACGAAATCTACACTTCGAGGTTCACCAAGTGCTGTGCCTGCCACGAAATCTGCACTCGAGGTTCACAAAGTACTGCGCCTGCCACGAAATCTGCACTTCGAGGTTCACCAAGCGCTGCGCCTGCCACGACATCTACACTTCGAGGTTCACAAACTGCTGCGCCTGCCACGAAATCTGCACCTCGAGGTTCACAAAGCGCTGCGCCTGCCACGAAATCTGCATTTCGAGGTTCACCAAGTGCTGTGCCTGCCACGAAATCTGCACTTCGAGGTTCACCTTGCAAGCGCTGCGCCTGCCACGAGATCTGCACTTCCACGTTCACCAAGCTGCGCCTGCCACAAAACCTGCGAACCAGCCACATCTCCAGAAGTCACGATTCACTGCACCTGTCACGAAATCAGGTCTCGTCGAAGACCACCACCATGTCCAAAGTACTGTGCCTGCCACGAAATCTGCATGATTGAAGTCAAGCCGCTCCGATCCCTTGCAGCTGTCACGAAAAGTAGACTTTGAACCACGAAAATATGAAGTTTCCCTTGCACTTGCCACGAAAAGTGACCACCATGTGCGAAAATGCACACGTCACCACAACGAGAACGCAGTCGTGAAGCACCCGCCGCGGACACCCAGATTCAGCGAGCCTCGCAGTCGAAATGCACATTGACAATGTCGAGAGGCATGAATGCACTGTAAATAGCAGCGACTAAGCCGGACACGGCCGCGCGCTTCAGCGATCTAGGCATCAGCTGCTTTTCACTCAACGTAAGAACCCCTAAGTGTGTCCACACCGTTTGGGGAAAAAACAGAATCCATGGCTGCTTGCAGGCGCCGATGCCCTGTTTTGCCGGTTCTGAGATGTAGAGGTGGTGGAGGAGGCAGGTTTACGAATCTAAGGAAGATTTGAAGAGTGTAGAAGCGAAACGAACCTCTTCTTAACTTATGAAGCTTAGAAACTGTGTTTTTCTTAATGTCTTCGGTTCAATTACAGTGTTGGGCTCCCTTTCTCTTGCGTAAAGCTTGGGCAGAGCTCTGGGAGCTCCACACAGCGCCGTTGCGGGTGTTTCAGCGTGCTTTCTGGCGAAGTGCTCAAAGATACAACTGACCATTTCACAAATCATGACGTCATCTTGGTCGGCAAGAGTCGACTCATTCCAACAACTCAGCATTCCAAGTTTGGGCATTGGAAGGCTTTCCAAGTGTTTAGCTCATGGCGGGTGTCGCTATGGCATGCAAACGCCAATGTGGATTTGGAATGGCTGCTTGCAACGTCGACAAGGGCCGAAACTGCCTGCTATATATATATATATAAATGGAAGAATCTTCCCACACCCCTTTACAGCCTCCTGGATGGACTCCCCTGCTCTCAAGTTCACACCCATGGCACACACAACGAGATTGCAAACGAGTCCCCGAGATGAAAGCAAAAGGACAGCAGTTGAAGAGTTGAAGTGAGCATTGTGGCAACACGGGTCAGGGTTCTCGTTTCAGCACCATAGTTGAATGAGGTCATTCCAAAAAAGACAAAGCAGTGCAGAAAGCATAAGTAGGAAGACTGGAAGGCTGCACAAAAACCTACGCGCTTGGCTCAAATTTGGTCCACATCGGGAATGGAAAAGGGGAGGGCCGAGACGGTTGTACTCAACATGCTAACGCTAGCTTTCATGCAAGGGCATTAGCTCCACAGCTGCTATGTTCAAATTGAAAACCATCCATCACAAATGATTCATAATCCATCCTGTGGATTTGGGATGCCCTTCAATTGACCGTTTGCGTCGCAAATGCCACCCTCCACAGTTTCCTGTGTCTGCATCCTTGTGACGCTCGTAGGAAATGCAGCTGGATGTGACTGCATCGATAGTCCAAATGATTGCGAAAAGCCACCCCAACATTCTGGACCTCTCTGTGGCACAAGACGGCAACAATCACACAACAGTCACACATCCGTCATACAAGCAACGTTCTACTCTTAACTGAGCAAGCAGCAAATAGATTTGGATGCCCAAAAGCTGTAAAGGAAGCACAACTCCATCATGTAGCACAACTCCAAAAATTACCTCAAATCAAATTCTACTTTTCCTGAAATCTCCGCACGCCGGCGTCTTTCAACACTAGACTAAAGGAAACTAATGGCAACACAGGTTGGACCCGGAGATATGTCAAGCCCAACTTATCGAGCTTGGGTTGCTTGCTCTTTCTCCTCAACGCCCAACCTATCTCATTGTTGCGCTTCAGGCGAGGTTTGCCGAGCAACAATGTCCCACGCAATCTTCTTTGCTGAAAAGGGCTTTATGACGAAAACGACCTGCGGTCTGATAGTGCTATGAACGCCTGTAAATGTCTGCAAAGGTCTGCCAAACACAGATAGCAAATTCATCATGCCCAATGCAGCTCAATCACTTCCGAATCTTCAGAATCATCGTTGACGGATGAGCCCAGGTACTTGGACAATGACGAGCGGGTCACCAATCTGTGGAATCTTGTCACCTGTTGCCAGGAAAACACGAAGAGACTGAGATGAATTGTGGTTTGAACAAGTTTAACGGTTTCCGTCTATTGAATCAATGCTCTTTCCTTGGCTTCAGATTTAAAACCTCACCTTTGCTGAATGCTTGTCTGATCTGTGCCAGCAATCCAGAAGCTCAAACCTCGACTGTTTCGCTCTCAAGTGGACCGCGTCCGCAACACTTTCACATGCTCTCTCTGGAAAAGGAGCGGTTGCCGCCATGTCAGCTTCCGAACTCCAATCGGTTCATAAGTGCCCGCGACCAGTTACAATTATATATATTTATATGTCTTGGTTCGGTGTGTCAATCCTTTCCAGGTGCCCAATCCAACCCTAGTTTAATCATAGGAAATATCGTAAAATTCAATCGGGGGGGTCCGACATGAGCTTTGTTCACGGTTTAATTTGTATTTGGTAGGTCATCCTTAATTGTAAAATTCACACGTCCAGAAACTCCGGATCAAACTTGATTTCTACTGAGGCATAATAGATCATAATAGTAGTAGTCTGGATCCATATTTGTAAAGTCAGCCCCAGAAAGAAAAACAATGCAAATGAAATCAAACGAAAGCAAATGAAATGAACTTCAGAGCTGACTATTATTGCGGCGACCCTTAAAAACCTTCCCCAAAAAGAGGAAGAGGTTGACTCCCGCCCTTATTTTCTAGCACTAGTCGAATCACGCAAAAGCCACCGAACCCTTCCGACGGTGGAGTCGAACCGATCAGTGCTGGATGAGCTGGGAAGCTCATAGCCAAAGTCATTTGTAAGAGGTTCACAACCTGGGCCCTGGAGTTCCAAGTCAGTTTCTGTGCGGAAGATCCCGGAGAAGAAGGAACGCTTTGCCTCGGAAGGTGTGCTGTGGTCTGGATTTGGTCGTGCTGTCACTCTTTCATTGTTTTTATTTTTTGGCTGGCTTGCTGGAAAATCACATGTATATATATATATTCAACATGACTGTATTGGTCTTGGGTCGTTCCAATTTTTCGCTGCCAAGGGTCAGATTCCTTGGAACAGTGCCTTGGCATGAGTGTTTTGGAATGATGAGGGGCATCCTGACAGAATCAGAAGCTTCGTTCACCCTGCCACCACACCAATGCTCAAGACCTCCTCTTCTTTCCAAGCTGACTCGGCTTTATCCTGCGCCAACTTGTGCGCAGCGAGTCCAACAGTGGCGACCTTTCACAACACCTCTGTCTGGGAATTTGACACAGTAGTTAGCGCGCTCCCATTTCGCACGGAATCCACAAAAACTGTTTCCCCTTCGAGGGTGTGGTCCTTCGTTTGTGGGTTTGAAAGCCACGTTTCTCCCACATTCTCAGCCTTAGGCACAGGTCGGTGTCAACGTGGTCACTGCAATGTCACACGATATCAACATGCACAGCCTGCAACTTTCCAAAGAAAAAGTGAGCCGCACTTTCATTATGCAGCGAAGTTGCCCTGAGCACCTTGGAAGATCTTCGGCCCAAGGATTTTGCTTCAGAGTTTTCTGAAACTCGGTCTAACGGCGTGTCCTGATCACAAAGGCAAACCTTTATATAGCCTCACTGCCTTTTGACAACGACAGTCATTGGACTCATAAATAAAGCAGCCCTGCGCGCAAAAATGCCAAATTTGCGGGCACCATGAAAATGTCATAAAATGTCTCATCTGCAAAGAGAAAATGACACCCTGGACGCCTTTTCACCCCACCCTTTCCTATCACTTGTCGAGGGTGTGATGACCCTGTAGCTCAACACCATCGAACCTTCCCAATCAAAAAGCTGCCATACCTGCCCTACTGCACTCCTTCGGACAGATCTGTCCAGCACACTGACATCAAATCGTTCAAACACCTTTCCTAAAACACTGCTCTCATGTCAGAACTGAAAATCCTAACAGCTTTGTAGCTTTTGTAGCTTAGTTGTCACAAAGCTGCGGGATAAAAACAAGGTCCATGGAGGTCGGATTGCACCGACATAGAACCATAAACATCTGGCACCAGCACCCATGCTCCAAAGCACACATGGCCACACATGTGGCAGCGGCACCCAGCAGCTCCAGTCTCCAAAGCGCATACAGGCACCTCTTCCTATACTTTTCAGAACCTCAATAGCTCTCGCTATCTGGCTGTCCGACCTGTCCCAGCCACCCTCGCCAATTCCCCGCAGGCAATCCTTCAAGGGGAGCGGCTGCCACTTTCCAGCCAAAGGCTCCTGTTGAGAGGAAGCTAGTTACTAGTAGCTGGAAGCTACTAGGTTGGAGGCCATCGCTATTAGGTTGGAGGCCATTACTACTACTGTAGTAACTAGTAACAAGAAGCTGCTAAGAAGCTACAAACTGATGTTTGCAGCCTTGCCTCTCGAGCAGGAATGCCAGGCGCCTTATGCATGACAGTAGCGAAGGGTCGAAGGGTCCAAACCCTTGCTACCAACTGACTCTGTGGTGGGCAGTTTCACTTCAAGTCAAGCTACCGCCACATCAGACTTCCGGCGCACCCTGAGCATTCCGAAAGGGTGAGAGACAAAGGTTGGCTCATAGATCAGTAAACTAATTGGTTTGTCCACCCAGCGCTCGCGCCAGGAACCCTGCCTTGGAATGATCCCCAGGTCGCTGAGAATTGAGCTGGAGCCTTGCCAGGAGCATGAATCATCCGGCATGGGTTAAATTGTTTATCTGTGTATGCTCTTGCCCGCCTGTGTCAGGACACTGCAAAAGAGAGGATCGGCGCGGCTTTGCCGAAATAGTCCTCAAAGGATACAACTTCCACTGTCAGAAAACGTCAAATGTAACAGCACTGTATACTTCATTCGGAGACGCAGGCTCCTGGAGAGGCGCGCCGGGACTGCTGGAAGGGCGGGTATCACCTTTCGACTGAAATTTGGCAGCAAAACCCGCCTCTCTTTCCTTCTCTCTCTCTCTCTCTCTCTCTCTCTCCCTCTCCCTCTCCCTCTCTCTCTCTCTCGCTCTCCCTCTCTCTCTCTCTCTCTCTCCCCCCTCCTGTGCCTCTCTCTCTGTGAGCCTCTTTCCGTTTCCATTCTCTCTGTTTCCATCTTCTCACAACCCTTGGGAGATAGGAGAAATTGAGGGACACAACCCTCGTAGGCCCTCGCAGGATCTTGTATGCCAGGTCTTGATTTGGACATCTCCTTCTCTATCTCTGAATCTGATCGGGAACACCTGCAGTTCGGGCAATTGTGGAACTGATGTGGAAGGCGGCGGCCCCTGGACCTGAGTACGCTCACAGTGTCACAGGTATTCCCTGCACTGCACTAAGAGTTTGACACATACAATGTCTTGCCGAGTTCTACATTTGTTCGTGGTGTCGTTTCAATCGTGTAAGCTGAAGACTTGCTGCATTTGGAGGAGTTGGAGTTGGTGCAAGATGTCAGCGTGGGATTGACGACCTGAGAAAACTGGCCGTGGAGTAGACGAGTGTCAACGTCATTTATATACATAAGCTTGGGTCCTGACCAAAGGCTTCAAAACTGCGACCGCGACTCAAGAGCGAGAGCCTGCAAAAACATGCACAACAAGGTACATAAATCGCAGGGTCCAAATATTGTTGCCTTTGGCCATTTGGGTCATAAATCTCGCTCATGGAAGAGTAGCCTGAAAGTCAACGTCCCAGCAGCGGAAAGGTTGCACAGCAGGGCACCAACATGCAAGAGAGTGCCCATCTAGCTAAAATTACACGGCTGATGATGCTCAATTCTCAACAGGGAGGTGCTAGTTACACTTCACCAATAATCTGACAGAAAGCTGCTCACTTCCTCAGAGTCGATTGCACCAGGCACATTCGCTCCGGAAAGACTTCCGACATTCACTGACAAAGCCTGGCAATTGCTTTAGTTTTAAATTGTTTCATTGCTACTAAAGAGCAAAATTTCCTTGCCAGTAGGTGCGGGGGCCTCTTTCTTCTTAGAATTCGCCTTGGAAGGGCCAGGTCAGATTCAAAAACATGGTGGCTAGTTGGAAGCCAATATCGATAGTGTTGACGTACGATTTCCATTCGAGGGTGGCATCTTCGAATGAATGCCAGCCGCCAACCAAAAGATTGTGGAACATTCTGGCAAACATAGCACGTCGGCATGAAAGACATCAACTAGAATAAAGACCAATGGCAAACGCAAACCACGTCCACGGGAACTATCCACCCAGTTACTCGATTCCCAAGCAAAGTTTTAGCCCCACAGCGGGCATCGTCTTCATGAAGAGCCTCTGGCAACGCACTTTTTTAAACAAAAGTGAAACGACCTCCCTGCACTGCCAAATCAATGCATGTCAAGTTTTCTTGTGCTGCCCAGTTTCCTGCACGCCTGTCATAAGCTCCTAGTCCAGCAAAAATTTAGATGAAGGCTGCTAAGGCTAGGGCAGCAAATGGTCAGTGCAGTGCAAACCATGTGGTGACGATGACGATGCCTCCCTGGCTCCTCATGTTTTTCCAAGATGCGCATGTGTAGTTCTCTGAGCTGCTCTTCCAAAAACGCACTGAAAGCCGCCATGGCTTGCCCTTCGAATTGATCCAGGTGTGCACCGCCAATTCTTGCACAATGATGACATCTTCTTTGGGACTCTGGCCTGGGCCTTTGTGTCTCGCCGCGCCGCTTCACAACGCTTCGGGTTTTTTCAACGTTGCCAATGCATGGAGATGCCCAACATGGCTAGCCAAAATGGCTTGATTTGTGCGGCGCGAGCAGGGTTGATGCCTTTGCATGTTTACACTATGGGGCCTCCTATCTGGGGTCCCAGGGTGGATGGGGCCCCAGAATAATTGTTTTTTATTCAGGGTGGTGGACCTACACCTGGCCAAAACTTATTCCATATGTTTACAGCATTTTACAGCCATGTCTGCCTTGCAGTCTGTAATTAAGTGATCTTACACGCGTTCCAAAACACAGGTTCAGTTTCACTACAGTGATCTTCTGCGTTTTGGTTCCTCCTCGTTTCCGGTCGCGTCAAGTGACCCAACACGCGGCAAAACGGCTAAACTTTTCAGATCAGCAACCCCCCACGTGACTTCTAGGACGGCTAGCCCACGCCAGAAGCCAGACCCAGAAACCAAACTTGGGAGTAGACACAGAGCAGGAACCGTCAGATCAGGGGTGCCAGGTCATAGGCGACCCAACCAAATCTTTGTTGTCGACTCCGAAAACTGGTCTACACGAGAAAAGGGAGCTGTCAGATCTGTGGAACTGTGAAAAATGCCCAGTGCGCAGGGGTGATCACATCAAAGCTGCCCTAGACTTAAATCTTCCAGGACGGCGAGTTCACGCCACAAGCCAGACCCAGAAACCAAACTTGGGAACTGTCAGGTCAGGGCTCCTAGGTCATAGGCGCCCCAGCCACATCTTTCTTGTGGACTCTGAAGCTGTGATATGTGACCTGAAGCTGTAGATTGTGCAAGATATGTGCCCCAAAATGGCAAGATTGCCTCCTGTTGTAGGCCACTGTTCAGTAGACGGCCAACTGCTAAATTATTCCAAGGGTCTATCACGTCAAACAGGCTCTTTGGAACCGAGACTGGCTAGAGTCATAGCCCCACGCGACCATTTCTTTAGCCCATCTACGACCCGCATGGCAGAAAATCGGAGCAGATCCCCTTTCCCGAGCTTGGATGAAGTGCAAGCCAACAACCAGCGACTCCTCCAAACCATGGACACACTCCAAGCATCAATGAAGCAGCAGCAGGAGACCCTGCACACACACCAAGGGCGAATCAATGAAATCGACCAACGCCCCGCTCACACGCAACACCAGCTTCAAAAAGAGCAGCAACTACAGGCCTCCAAGCAAGCCCTCGTCACCAGCTGGGCAGACAGTGCCACAGCGCACGACCGCCTTAAGGCCATCGAGGACTTACTTCGCAAAGAGGGCCTGACCTCTCGATATGCCAGCACTACTACCATGAAAGGCAAGACCGGCATCTCACCCTTTACCGTTGTCGAGTTCTTCACAAAAGAGGCACGGAACGAGTTCCTCGACATGATCAAGAAGGACATGCTCATCTGCCATGGCCAAATCACCGTGGGACGAGCTCAGACGCCCAAATACCAACGAGAGGCGGACCAGCCCTTTCGATGCGCCATCGCCACTTTCTCCCAGTGTGAAGGGACAAGGGCCCGACACAAGCCGACACGGGAATTGTCTGCGCTCTGGCACTCCGCGGAGTGGGTCCTCATGGCCGAGGCTTCCCCAGTGGACAAGACAGACATCATCATCCACGTCCAGCCCTCTACGCACGAAGCATTCGTCTCCAAATTCCAAGCTGATTGGCAGCAATGGGGTGGACAGAAGGGCCAGACCAGCAATACCGCCCACAGAACCACTTTCGTATCACACCAGTCCCCTTGACCGCGGAAAAGGCAGCGGAGTACGATGAGAAATGCCGGCAACTCCAGACAGCTGGGAAACAGACCGCGCAACCCATGGAGACAGACGCGGCCAATGCCACCCCGCAGACGGTGAGCCAGCCCAAAGGCGCTGGCACGGGGGCCGCGCGGCAGTAGGGACAGGTAGACCACCACCAACACTCGATACATGTGCCACATACACTTTTAACGATCGTTTCTACTGGGGCACATGAGTCGCGCCGCCACGCAGGCGAGCCGGGAAGACCGCGAGGCTCCACACAACTTTTGACCATTTCTTCTACTGACCATTTTTTCTGCACAGACAGACCACAGCACAGCAAGCCCCTGCGGAAACAGAGCGAAACGAATCGGTCCAACAAACGGGGCAAGAGGTCCGACGCAGCCCGTCTCAGCAGAGTAGCAAACCGCAAAGCCGCCAGAGCAACACATAGGAGAGGATATAAATGGTGTTCAGCCGACCATTTCTGTGGCTGAGCTGACCGCAGCCATCAAACAAACCAAACCACACAAGCGGGCGGGAAAAGACCAAATCCCAAATGATTTTTGGAAGCACTTGCAAGGGCCCGGACTCGGCGCTCTTCTTACGCTTTTCCAATCATGCTGGGACGGACACCTGCACAAGTCCCCGACAATGGAAGCTCGCTCAAGTTGTGGGAATCTTTAAGAAGGGTTCCGCGTCAGACCCCGCTAACTACAGACCTATTAGCCTGTTACAGACATGTTATAAACTATACGCTAGAATCATTGCAAGCCGTTTGTCCGCCGGTCTCGACGAACACATACGTGAACTCCAGTTTGGGTTTAGGAAGGGTAGGAGCACAGCAGAAGCCACCTTCTTGGTACGCAGGTTGCAGGACCTGGTCGACGCCAAACGGCATCAAACCCTACACCTTCTTTTCCTTGACTGGAGCAAAGCTTTTGACAAGATTCGACCGGCGGCCCTACAACAGGCCTTGCGTCAACTGCTAGTTCCTGACCACACCATCCAGGATATTTCAGACCTAGTAAGTAACCCTTTGTTTGAAGTTCTCATGGACAAGTCAGTCTCAAATACATACCCGCAGCGGAGTGGAATTCGTCAAGGGTGCACGCTGTCCCCACTCTTGTTCATTCTGTTGCAGACAGTTTTGTTCCACGATGTCCAGGTCAAGTACAAAGCTCGTCACCCACTTGCCACTACTCCCCGCCTCCCCTTTTTTTGACATTGAATTCGCTGACGATACGGTATTAATTGCCAAAACTGGGGAACACATCCAGGACCTTCTTTGGTTTGTCCAAGACGAAGCGGCAAAATATAATCTCCACCTCAACACGGGCAAGACAAAACACATACCGTTCAACTCCAACATGCAGTTGTTCTTTGCTAGCCAGGCTCCTGTGCCCCAAGTAACTTCCATGGTTTATCTTGGGGGGGCTCATAGAGAAAAGCGGTAAACCAGGGCCGGAAGTTCGCCGTCGAGTCACCGAAGCTCGGAAAGTCTTCAAACAACTTATTCGAGTTTGGAAGCATGGCAGGCTTTCCAGAGCTAAGAAACTTCATATCTATCGCGCGTGTGTTGTTTCCAAGCTTCTGTATAACTCAGGCACACTCTGGTTGACGGACGCGCAAAACAGACACATTGATGCCTTCCACCACAAATGTTTGCGTTCTATAGCTAATGTTCCCACCACGTGGGGAGCCATGCAGATAGGGATTGACAGAATCACAAACGACGACGTGCGACGGCAACTACATGAAACGCTACTTAGCGATGACATCCGCTTGCATCAACTTAAGTTGCTGGGGCACATTCTTAGGCGACCTCCCAATCACCCTAGCAGGCTAGCGACATACGATCGTTTCCTTCAACCGCGCCACCTGGGCGGCCCTTTCAGGGCGGGCGTGCGCAGAGCTAAATGGATTGAACAAGTTTTATCCCTGGCTATGACCATTTTTAACGACCATTTCTTTAACGGAGCGGGCGGTGAACAGGCTGTCAAACACAAAATTCTGGAAGTGGCTGCAGATAGGCGGTGGTGGTCTTATGTTCTAGGCGTAGCACACGTCAATTGGCGTCGCCAACGGGAGGGACCGGCAGCCGTCCGCGCCCAGGGCAGGTAAAAATTCACATCAAACACACCCCTGGAATTATTTCAGTCCACACAGCAACAATGAGAGCCACCAACGACAAAAATAATCCAAGCGTTGGGTTTGATGTGATCGACCCTGGAATAGTTTAGCAGTTAGCTGTCTAGAAGGCAAATTGCCCTGTTGGGGCACAAATCTTGGAGCTTCCACAAGAGTTTTGGTGAGACCACTTCAAAAATTTAGTGCCGAATTTGGTGTGGCTTCTTTCCTTGACTAAAATAATTCTAGGGGTGGCCCTGGAATAATTGCAGGGACATACAACAGGAGGCAAACTTGCCATTTTTGGGGCACATATCCCCGTCTGATGTGACAGTTCCCAAGTTTGGTTTCTGGGTCTGGCTTCCGGCGTGAACTCGCCGTCCTGGAAGTCACAGGCTTCTAGACAGCAGATTTAAGTCTAGGGCGGGTGTGATCACCCCTATGCAACGGGGAGCATTTGGCCCGAGATGGCCCGAGCCACGTGTTTCGCAGGTCCACTGATCTGACAGCTCTCTTTTCTGGCAAGAGAGGTTGAAGTTTCTTGAACGAAAGGCGTCATAAGGATCCTTGTGACACCTTTCCTGTTCCCCCATGATTGTGATCGTTTTTGGATTTTGAGCCAGCTGTAAATGTGAGCATGTGATGTTGCTTTTTGAAGCGACAGGGGAACATAGTGGAGCAAGTCAATTCCGACCTTATTATTCCAGGGTACCAACTTCAACATGGTGGTTTTAATATTCCTAAAAAATATTCTGAGAAAGTATTCCTGGGTGACCCTACCCTGGAATAATTTACGACGGGAGGGCCCATTTTAAACTCCTGACAAGGCCCTGCTAGCATACCAACTTGCCACGCCAGGGCACTCCAACAGCAAATTTGTCCAGTATGACCGCAAGCGCTTTAGCGCCTGCATCGGAACCATGTAGGAAACTAGCAATTCGCACATAACTGAGAATGCAGATGCGATAAGGTGTGATGTGAAGATCTGGTAGCCGCAACGAAGTCGGTTGTAACAAGCGCAAAACCGAAACCACTCGTCACACCGTGGCCGGCCTTTTAGTCTCTCGAGCCCACCCTCTGCGAGCAGCACATAGTATGTGACGTGGAAAAAGCCAGACTCACTGCGTGCGTCTTCACACGGAGGAGAAGCTTGGTGTCAAGTGGGTATTGGCATCGATCAGCCACTGATGCATGTCATCACGAACGCGCCAGCCTTGAGGGTATATCCTCACGCGCAACCCCGAACAGCCAGCAGGTTACGCACTGCTATCTGTTGGGTGATGTGACCGTCAGCCACATGCCAGCACACGCCTTTCCTGGAAACATATCTCATGCCCAAAAGGGCACATTGCAGTCCTCGAAGTTTGGGTGGCCACCAAAATGAACAGGCAAATCACCTCCCAGTCCGCCAGTCCATTTGCAAGTTCAACGACTTCCATCTAGTGCCTCAGCACCATCAAGGCCGCCGACGCAACAGCGGCATGTTGCTGCCGTTGAAGACTTTTGCGCCGATGGCTGTAAGCCCGCAGTTGGTCGGCACGCCGGCAATAAGATCCTAAGAGGCATCGATGACGAGCAAATTTGCCAAGATCGTCCACACCTGGATACGCTAGCTGCGGACTAAATCTGTAGGAGTGGCATTGATGAGGCCCTGCGGGCTAAAATTCGATCCAGGCCACCTTCTGCCCTATGGGTTCAAAAAATGCACCAACCAATCCACCTTCACTTGGAGCTTCTTTAAAAAAATTATTAAGTCCCCCGTTCGGCCTCGTCAGTCTCGTTCGTGGAGGGGTTGGAAAAATGGCTCTGGAGGCCCCGCTCGGCCTCGACCCGTTTGACCACAGCGCAGGCATGTGAGCTTGGGGTCGAACTTGCCACTGGATATCGGACAGTTGTTTTGGGCTTGCCGGCTTGCCAGACTTCCCCTTTTCCTTTCCGCTCAGACCTCGAGCCATCTTCAACGCACCAGTGTAGGATGCAAAAGCCTGGTCATATTCTTCCGCCAGGAAGTCACCTGCATCTTGGTCGAATTTAGGTCTGGGTCTTCAGAAAAATCTCCTCAGGCCAGTAGTCCTTGGCTTAGTGGTAGCAGGCTTCATTCATTGGTGATTCCATCACCCTCACTTGTAGTCTGTCGTCTTGACTCAGGATGAGGTCTATTGCCTCGATGACCGCTTGTTTCTCCAAGCTGGGCGCCTTCCAGGTGACCACCTGGCACTGTTCTCTGGTGACAATAGATGCCACCCTTGAACCGAGGAGGGCAACTCGATTTTGTTGAAGCTTGCGCTAGGCCTCCTCATGGTCAGCAACAAAGAAGAGGAGAGTCTGGCCACCCTCAGATTGAAGTAGCCCTCAAAGTCGGCTGGCAATTGAACTCGAGCATCGTAGCCGAAGTTGGCGTCCAAGCATTTGAACGCATCCTCCTTCTCGAGTTCTTCGATGCTCCAGTCCTGAAAGAGACGCCATGTGACACCAGTGAAAGAGCCGCGAGCCCACTATGTTCAGGACGCTCTCGTTGCTCCTGTTGGTCACGGACATCCTGCTCTCAGGTCCGTGTAACCAGTGCCATCCTTGCCATCGGAGCCGGATGCCTGCGTCGTTGTCTTCTTTCCGCAAATAGGCATGGTTCCAAAGAGCTCCTCAATGTCTGGCTTGGTGGCAAGGGTGTTGCGATAGCCGTGGATGAAGGCCAAGCGGACAAGCGCATGAAAATAGAACTCTTTGAACCATTCGTGACGTAGGGGTTATCCCGAACCTCCCTGGACCAGGCTCCGCTACCAATGTGAAGATCTGGTAGCCGCAAACGAAGCCGGTACCAAGAGCAAACAGCGAAGCGCGAAGGACACAACAAGATGTCCTTTAAACTCTCGAGCCCGCCCTCTGGGCGCGGTACATGGCATGTGACATGGTAAAACAAGACTCACAGCGCGTGTCTTCACATTGATTGATCGCCTAGCAACATCTAATTACAAGTCACAATGGTTCATAAGACGCAAATGACTGTTGCGAGCTGCAGTACAACACAGGTTTTTGTGTCACCACGGTAGTTTCCTCACAACAGTCCTGAACAAAAACGCGCTCCCTTCAGACCAACCCAACATAAACAAAGAAGAAAACTAAACAAAAGCCATGTTTCTTTTGTTTCAAAGGTTTTCTGGGCTGCGTAAACATTTTTGTTTGGTCGCGTTTGTCTTTTAGGTTCCTTTACCCATAGCAATTGGTCCACCAAGTTCCGCCAGCAAAGAAGTTTGTTACTCCATGATTTGGGTTTAGTCGCTCTGCATCTCCTGTTGCATGTATGGTTTTGTTGCGCTTGTTTTGCTCCACAAACGGATCCACCCTCCGATATCCGCTCCAGTTTTGGACAATATACCTCACTAAACGCTTCTTGAGGCCGGGGGCTGGTGACGAAAGCTAGCAGCATCTAAATCGCATGGCCTCAAAAACCGATGGGGATGCACGGCACGATGCGCAACATAAAAGGGATGCTACCAGAACTATACACTTCCAACTCTGACACATCCAAGGGAGTTGAACCCACTGAGCGGAGGGGGGTGACGTGGAAGCACAACGCAGTGGAGTTTCCCTTGTGTCAACAGCGGCCCCGCAGGGATGACGGCAAGCGGCAAGCGGTCGTTATCTGTGGGTTTCAGCGAAAATGCGTCATTCAGAAACATAAGGTGTGAGACCACACAGAGGTTAAGTGTGATACAATTGTCCTAACCTCTGCGCATGAAATTGCCTTGGTCGATATATTCCCGCCCAAGGCCGTTTATATTTATACTTTAAACTTTAAACTATAAATTCTCAGAGCTCTTAATTAAAAGTCCTTGGCGCACGCCAACCACCTGAGACACCAATGAAAAGAGCCTAAAAGGTGAAAGCGAACGAAATTCATGCAGCAACCAAAATGAATATTCAAGACGAACGGTGCTAACTTTTGAAGTTCTTGACCGAAGGCGCGTGATCGTCACCTGTAAAGGCGCGTGCTCCATCTCCTCTATGGGAAGGACATGTCGGTGAAGCCTGCTCCTGCAAGGTACGACCAGCCCTGACAGCGGCTGCCCAGCTTCTGGCCTTCTAGGCCCGCTGAACTCGCTGTTCTGGTGACCAACCTCCTGTAGTCCTGGACAAAGATGAAGCCAAGAGGCAAAGATGAGGAGGAGCAAACGATGCCCCAATGGAGTCCCGAGTCTCCCTTGTTGGAACTGGCGATGTAGGTTCAACTTCTTGCCAAGATACCACACTCTGTGCTCCTGAGGGAATGGGTCCACGAGCTTGCTCGGTGTAGCCACCCAAGTCGGAAGGCGCAGGTCCTCCGCACGAAGTTTCCTGAGCCAAACAGTGCGCAAAGGAGGCAGCTGAAGGCTGAAGGCCCTGGAATTCCAAAGACAGGTTATATAAGTTCATCGTCTTCTCCTCTGGAGGGGGAAGAGCGGCTGCTCATTCATGTGTTAGGCACAACGGGCAGCCAATGCCCCACCAGTTGGACTGGGCCCCGGAGACGAACACATCCAAAAGTTTGGGGGCCCAATCCATGTAGCTTGAGCACCACGAAAACACACATCCATCTTAGAAGGTCAGCTTTTATCATTGACACTTGAGGCCGAGAAAGCTAGCAGGGCAGGGGTGAAGCGGGGGATATCTGACCGAGAAAGGGATCCAAACAACTCCAGCTAGCTGGTGCTAGCTTTCGTGATTGCACATAGAGATTGTGCACAGGAAGGTCAAAAGAAAGATGCGCCTCGCCTAGGTCTCAGAGCAATGTATGAAACTTTGCATGGTATATACGGTGCTTTTGATAGGGCTTTGGGCTAGCGTGCGTGTCGCAAGCACCCGCTCTCTTTTTACTCCAGCCGTTTGTTGTGCCTCATAGGTTCGGAAGGACGAACCTGCAGCTCCTGAATTTGGGACCATTGTCTTTCAGGCAGGGAAACACTGGTTGTCTGCTGTCCGGAATGCCGAACAAATGCACACGTCTGAATGAAAACGAAGCAAGAGACACAAGCTCCGCTACCAGGGCAGATTCATTCCCAAAGTGGCAGTGCGAACTGGACCTGATCGAACACACCAGCGAATGCCCTGGAAATGCAACGTGCGAACGACGGTGAGCACGTTTTCTCTCGCTATGGCAGAGGTGCGAAAGCGTCTATTATAGGGCCGTGAGCCAAATGCACAGCATTGAATTAACGCTCAAAAAAGAAGATGCTAATGCTACGGACAACTGGAAAACAAAATACAATTGCGTAGATACGCCTATATACATGCCCCTACAATAAACCGGTAAGAACAATCACAGGGAGAAGGGGGGGTCTAGCAGTGAATTATATATCCATCCTCCAGCCAAAAACTAGCTAAAACAAGAGTAACTCAAGCTAGCTGACGCTAGCCGTTAGATTTCGTGACAAGGCCCCGACTCTCATGCAGGATCTCATAATTTCCAGTGTTGGAGCAAGAACTCTGAGCAGGGTTAGGGTCTGTAAAGTGGCACCGTTGGCGGGTCACAAGTTCTTTGGTCGGCAGCAGGTCGTAGCAGGTCGGCACCAGGTTGGTAGCAGGTGGCAGCACCATACCCCCCTCTCAGTATGCTGAGAAAATGACAACTTTCTCGACAACACGTGACCAAAGGCATGCTATCACCAGGTGTTTTCTTCATTTGGCCACGTGGCAAGCAAGAAATACCAGTCACAACGTTTTAGCATTTCTGTGACAATTTCTGAGATTTCAGCAGGTTGCACCAGCTGTTTGGCTAAAATCCGCACAATATGAGAATAAAGAAATGTTAAGCAATGTTAAGCATGCCAAGGGTTTGTTTGGAAAGTCGAAAAGCATGTACAAGTACTGTCACGGCGAACAGCGTTGCAGCCTCAATCAAATCACTTGAAAGCAAAAAGCAAGAACCTACAAGAATCTGGAGACGCCCCGAGTCACATTTTCCCTGAGGAGTTGTGTCTTGATGAGGTCAGGTCCACTTCGTGGATTCCCTCCTGCATCGCGCAGCTTCTAAATAGGCGCCTGTCTGCATCTCCTTCAGTCGACTAATGGCACGGCGTGCCGCAAAACCACTCTCCTGCAATGACCCGACAGCAGCAACCATAACGCCAGCCACACCTTGGTCTGGAGCGCTTAGGTCCGCGCTTGCAGGTGCAGTGCTCCAACCACTACCTGTGTCACCCTCAGCTGCCTGTGGGTTGCTGAGACGTTGCAGTCTCCTCACTTGAGCACGTTGCTCTTTCGCCTGGCGGTCCTGAAGTTGTTGCCACTTCTCCCTGCCCAGCTCTTTGATTTGAATCTGGAAATTTGGACTGTCGTCGTACATCGTCTCAAAAATGCCAAGGCTTTCCGCATCAAAGCTGTCATTGTCTTCGTTGGCACCCTGCAGAACCTGAATGTTTTGAAGCACCTCATCCAAACTGACCGCACAATGACAAATAAGCCGCACGGAGTGCTCATACAAAGCATCCACAAGATTTGTAAATCTTCGGGCCTCATTATGCTCTTCAAGGGTTAATTTGGGCACATCATGCAAGAAAACTGTGTGAAAGGTTGAGGCAACGATCAAGAAGTCTTCTGCAGCTAAAGGCTTTCGGCAAAGGTCATCAAAATGGAATCTAGCAACTCCATTTCCCTGGCGAACAGGAAGTTGACGGTTCCAGGATATTGACAAATTACCTGTGCGGAGAATCACACCTGCGATTGACTTCTCGGCTTCCAGCACGCTCCCCCCCCTCGAAAAGAGTTGCTCCGTCGAATTCATGCTTGGCCGTACTGGCTTGTTGCATGGCACAATCCGCCTGGTACATCGCAGCACGATAGTCTACTCCCAAGACACCTTGCACTAGGAAATTCTCACGGATGTGTGTCACTAGGGTTGGCACATATCGCTCTCGATGTAGGCCATCTTTGTAAAGATCTTCGGGTGGGCGATTGGTTGTGCAAACCACTGCCACGTGCCTGAGGGCCAGGAGTTGCAGGACTTCCGTCAAGATGGCAGCATCAGCCACATTAGTAATTGCGAACTCGTCCAAGCAAATCAGGTCACATTCCTCACTGACTTTGTCCGCCAAACGTTCAAGAATGTGCCTCTGTGGGACATGGTTTGTCTTCCTCATGCAATGGAGCTCACGGTGCAGCCACTGCGCAAATTCATGAAAATGTTGGCGCTTCACACGCCAGCTGTTCAAGCTTGTGAGGCAAAACAAGTCCATAATTGTGCTTTTCCCTGTGCCCACTGTCCCATACAAATAACAGCCTGCCGGCTTCAGTGCGGGTGGGGGGCCTAAACGCAGCCAGCACATCGGGCCCAAAATCCTAGGTGCCGATGGTGTCGATGGTGTGCGGTTTGCCCAGCTGAATGTCCAAGCAACTGACTTTTCTCGCTGCTCTTGACTGACAAACCGTGCTTTTTGCTTGGCAGAATCCGTGAGGCGTATCTGTTCTTCATCCCAGCGGTTCTTTGCACCGCGCACCTCACGCAAAGCATCCGGCAGTTTGCCCAAAGCCTTGACAGCTGATGTTTGATCGTCGTTCGCCTGAAGCTGTCCTGAAGAAATAAGACTCAAGTGTGCGTCTGACACATCTTCGCCCAGAGAAACACTACTGTCAAGGCGAAGACGTAGCATCAAGCGTTCTGCATCCATTGATTCTGTGGCAGCTAGCCTCCGAAGAGTGCTGCGTCCCAACCACAAAGTCCTCGCGTTCATCATGCCCCTGACTTGGAAAATGAAAAAAATATGTTGCCTTGAAGCCAAAAACGGCACAATAAGCATCAGTGCGCACACAGAATCACAAATCACAGGTCTACCTTTCTTCATTTCTCGTTGCGCTGCTGCAAAGAGTCTGCCCTTTCGTGCTGATCGGCGGCTGTCTGTCCGTCTGTCCGTCGGTCTGTCCGTCAGTCTGTCCGTCGGTCTGTCCGTCGGTCTGTCTGTCTGTCGGTCTGTCTGTCTGTGTCTGTGTCTGTGTTTGTGCGTGTGTGATATGACTGAAAGATTTCCCCACGACAATGGTAGATGGAATCCATGACCTCACCCAATGAGATTAATTTACAAAAACAAGATGGAGCCCACGAACCCCAATGCAAACACGTTCGAAAAGCTACATATGTCCAAATGACGCTCTTGTAGGGCACTCTTGCGGGACACTCTTTTGAGACACTCTTGTAGGACACTCTTGCGGGACACTCTTGTTGGTCACTCTTGTAGGAAACTCTTGTGGGTCACTCTTGTAGGACACTCTTGCGGGTCACTCTTGTGGGACACTCTTGTAGGACACTCTTGTGGGTCACTCTTCCGGGACACTCTTGTAGGACACTCTTGTGGGACACTCTCACGTGACACTCTTGTCGGACACTCTTATGGGACACTCTTGTGGGACACTTTTATAGGACACTCTTGTGGGACACTCTGATGGGACACTCTTGTCGGACACTCTTGTGGGACAATCTTGTCAGACACTCTTGTAGGACATTCTTGTGTGCCACTCTTACGGGACACTCTTGTGGGACACTCTCACGCGACACTCTTGTGGGACACTCTTATGGGACACTCTTGGGGACACTCTTGTGGGACACTCTTGTCGGACACCCTTGTGGGACGCTCTTGTAGGACACTCTTGTGGGACACTCTTGTAGGACGCTCTTGTGGGTCACCCTTGTAGGAAACTCTTGTGGATCACTCTTGTAGGACACTCTTGCGGGTCACTCTTGTGGGACACTCTGGTAAGACACTCTGGTGAGTCACTCTTACGCGACACTCTTGTAGGACACTCTTGTGGGACACTCTCACGCGACACTCTTGCGGGACACTCTTATGGGACACTGTTCTGGGACACCCTTGTGGGTAGGACACTCTTGTGGGCCACTCTTGTACGACACTCTTGTGGGACACTCTTGTAGGACACTCTTGTGGGTCACTCTTGTAAGAAACTCTTGTGGGTCACTCTTACAGGACACTCTTGTGGGACACTCTTCTGGGCCACTCTTGACACTCTTGTGGGACACTCCTGTGAAACTCTTGTGGGACACTCTTACGGGACACTCTTGTGGGACACCCTTGTGGGACACTCTTACAGGACACTCTTCTGGGACACTCTTGTCGGACACTCTTCTGAAACACTCTTCTGGGACACTCTTGTCGGACACTCTTGTGGGACAATCTTGTCAGACACTCTTGTAGGACACTCTTGTGGGTCACTCTTACGGGACACTCTTGTGGGACACTCTCACGCGACACTCTTGTGGGTCACTCTTCTGGGACACTCTTGTAGGACACTCTTGTGGGACACTCTTGTAGGACACTCTTGTGGGACGCTCTCAGGCCGAGCAAGTCCGCATGGCACTGCGACATCACGAACGTCGTGTCGCCACACGATCTGCCCACACACTGCAGGCGTTTCGTACGAGACGTTCTCCAAAAGTCATGCGTACAGTCTCCAAAACGAGCGCTTCGTACGAGACTTCCTCAAAAACTCACATGTCAAAGTCTGCAAGACGAGCGTTTCGTACGAGACTTCCTCCAAAAGTCAAGCGGAAACACCCATCGGAGCACACACACACACATCACGCAGCCCTGCCAAGCAATTTCGCGATTCCAGCCCCTCCACCCGCTCACACGCCAATCCCAATGTCACAGCGACAGTCGCCTCTACCACAACTCACAGGCTCGCGAAAGCACTGCGCCTGCCACGAAATGTCACCTCCGTCACGCCTCGCAACTTCACGATTCCCTGCACCTGCCACGAAAATCGCACTTCCGCATATCCAAAAACGCACAAAGTACTGCGCCTGCCACGAAAAGTGACAATTGACAATAACAGGTCATGTGAGCTTCAACAAAATGTGCACCACACCACACGTTTGGAATGATTTCGACCCGTACTGAGCACACTCCCGTCCACGAAAATCGAAATTTCAGCTGAGACTTGTCACGAAAACAGAGCTTCGATGCAACACCCTGAAACGCAACCCCCAATGGCACGGCCACATCCAACACCCCAAAGACACCACTCTCCAAACGCTAATCCCAATGGAACTCCGCAGAAAACTGCGGATCTCACAAAACCTTGCGCCTGCGCAGTGAAATCATCCTCCACACTTCAGCATCTTACATTTCCACACGTTTCCACGCTATTTCAGACGAATCTGACACATCACGTTTCCATCCGAAACCCTTTCCAAAAGCTTCCCCCAATGGCAGCTACTGGCAGCGCCTTAGCGCTCTACCACGGACGGTTGCGAACGGTTGCGGACGGTTGCAGACGCTGAAACAACACGTCGCGAACAAGATCCTACCCCCAGACCCCCAGAGTCAAACGAGAACCCTTCGCTACGCATTCGGGAAAAAAGAACACACACACACTTCAGAAACATTTTTGGGCACCTGTAGCCTTCATTGCTTTCTCTTAAAGAATTGCACCTGCTTCAAAAGGCGGATTGTATAACCATGCGCTGGAATTGCCATGCAGGGGTCTGCTGGCGATTCATTCACAGTATGTATTTGTGCACTTAAAGTGTTCCTGTTCAAGAAGTTGCCAAAACCTGAGGACAAGCAAAAGAATGTATTAAGGAAGGTTCAAAAAATCACCAGCGTCTGCACAAAGCATCACCACTTGCCACTGCGGGTTGTTTATATAGATTCTTTTCATCGCAAAAATTGGTTGCTGGACTGTACATCACCTAGGCGGTCGATAGCTACGGCTGGGTTGAGAGCGAGAGTGCATTGACCAACATCTGCACCCCCAGCTCTGGGCTTGTTAAGATAGACTCGGGGTGGAATTGCACTGCAGCAATGGGCAAGGTCTTGTGCTGAATGGCCATCACAATAGGTTCACCCGCATCAATACCATCACCAGAGGACAGGCCTGGCATAATGCAGGCTGTCTCAAGCAAGCACTCGGGCAACGGACGCAAGCCGTAGAGAGAGTGGTACCTTGCCACTACAAAACTCGATGGACAATTTTTAAAAATTGGTCCAGATTTCTCTGTTGGGATGCTGCTTCCATCATGCCCCCTAGTCCGGATTTGCACCTCTGACGGCTTGCCATGCATAGGTAGTGGCAATTGCCCGAGCTTTCCACCAAAGTGCTCGACAATGCTTTGTAGCCCAAGGCACACACCAAAAATTCTGCAGCCAAGGTCCACCAAGCGATTGATGTGCTTGGAAACGCCAAAATCAGTTGGGCGCCCTGGACCAGGAGACAAAACGACAAGATCTGGCTTCACTTGAGCCAACGCATGCTCTGCTTGAGTGTGCCTCACAGTCGTGACTGTCGCACCTGTTTGTCGAAGGTAGTTTGCCAGCGTATGAACAAAGCTGTCTTCAAAGTCAATCAACACTACCCTGCGGTCAGCCTGCTTCAAAGGCATCCTGGGAGCGAGCCCAGCATTCTGAGGTACATCATGAGGGTTCCTGACAGCATTAAGACATGCCGAAGCTTTCAGCTCCGTCTCCTTCTCTTCAGACTCTGGAACGCTGTCAAATAACAGCGTCGCTCCTGCACGAACCTCTGCTACACCATCTTTGATTCGAACAGTTCGTAGCGTCAGTCCAGTATTCAAATGGCCGTCAAAGGCAACATGACCCACAGAGGCACCATACCAGCATCGTTGGGACTGTTCACATTCCTCGACAAACTGCATGGCCCATGTTTTTGGCGCTCCGCAGACAGTGACGGCCCACGTGTGGACTAAAAATGCATCTATTGCATCAAACTCCGGCCTCAAGTAGCCCTCAACATGGTCGACTGTGTGAATAAGCTTGCTGTAGAGCTCGATTTGGCGTCTCCCAAGAACCTGGACACTACCATGCTCACAAATGCGGGACTTGTCATTGCGGTCTACATCTGTACACATTGTGATCTCAGACTCTTCCTTCGGATCAGCGAGAATCTTCTTAATGTGCTCAGCATCCTCCAAGGCGTCCTTGCCTCTTGCAATGGTGCCACTGATTGGGCAAGTCTCAACTCGCAGTCCCTTCAAATTTCGTTCCACACGAACAAACATCTCAGGGGATGCTCCAACAAGGTATTCTTCCTCCCCGAGGTTCATCAAAAAACCGTAAGGAGAAGGATTTCGCCCTTGCAGGCAGTGAAAAACCTCACTGGGCCTGGACTTGCATGGTTCCCGAAACGTCTGCGAAAGCACCGCCTCAAACAGGTCACCACGCAAAAATTTTTCCTTGGCCGCACCTACTAACTTGGCAAACTCGCCTTGTTTCAGCTCACGTTTGTCTACACCAAGAGGCATTTGAGTTCTTGGTTTAAATGCCACCTCTGGACCTTTGTCGTCCATGTCTTTCGTGCTGAGCATCTTGCCACCAGAGGCGAAAACAAAATCATACTCCATTTTCCAAGACTGCTGCTGTTGGTGGTTGATGATGAGCAGGCTGTCGGGAATGTACAACACCAAGTCCCGCTGTTGTGGGTCCCGATCTTTGTGGAGCTTGACCTTCTCAAACTGAAAGGCCAGGTCATAGCCGAAAGCACCATACAAACCCAAGTGATGATCCGCTCCAGATTCAAATAAATTGACGAAAGCACGAACAACCGAGAAAATACTTGGCTGTTTTGACCTCTCCTCCTCAGAGAAATAGCCCTCACTTTCCTTTACTTCTCCGATGATCTTGTCAGGACCATCCATCCTTGCCAGTCAACACAAATATATATATAAAAACATTGCATCACAAAGAGCAAGCTTGGATGAAAAATGCGCGCACAATATATATATATATATATATTTGCGAACTTTCTTTTGACCCAACAAAAGGCTGCAGTGAGTCATCTATACAATCTCTGGCGTCAACGATGCTACGTATCTATACTGTGGTTTGTACTGAAAAGTGTTTCACAGTCCTTCTTGGCAGTGTGAGCGATCCAGTTGCTACTTTGAGCTCACTCTACCACCGTAGCTCACTTCATTTTCACCATCCTCATGTTGCATTGTCCACTTTCTCAAGAACGGGGTTCCTGGAGCTTCCTGATGGTACTCTATCTGAGTGATCTCCTCTCTTCTGCAACTTCAAGTAAATGTTCATATCGTTCTCTCTCTCTCTCTCTACTTCTAGCAACAGTTCAAGTCTTCTGTCCAATTGAGCCATTTTCAACTCGAGTCTCCCACACATTTGTATTGCCTGTTCTTTTTCATGTTCTGCCGTCATAGATAGTTCTCTATTTCCTGGTCTGAAGGCTTGTATCAATGGTCCTTCTGAAGGTATTGCTCCCTGATTGGCTGCTTCTAACATCACTCTATGACCTTCATATTGTCCTTCTGTTGGTCTCATGTCTTCCAAGCTCCTTCTGGCTAAAACGTTTCCTGCGTTGATTTCTCCAATCATGTCATAGCTGATTAGGGTTTGAGTGTTTGGTGTTTCTTTCTCTACAAAGCCCCCATTGAGAATCCATCCACTGCGAACTTTCCTGGCGCAATCTCTGAGTAGATCTATCTGATGCCCATCGTCTTCACAATCTCTGATCATTCTCTCAAGCTGTCTAAATTTGAAGTCTATCTCTTCTCTTCTAGAGCGAGCTGTTTCCATTGCGGTGTCATAGCTGATTGCAAAATGCTTGTTGCGCTTGAATAGTGCAAAAATCATTGCTGCAAAACCAATCACGATGATCACTGCGATCCAAAATTTCCAGTTGTCATTGGATTCCTTCAATTTCTTCCAATCCACTGATGAGTGCTTCTGCAACCACTGGCTGCAAGCCCTTCAACGCTACCATTCTCACAAGCACCTGGGCAATCTTGTTGACCTTTCCTGCAAAGTTCTTCTTCTCTTCATATACCTTTCTCGCGCTCTCCTTCTCTTGTCTGCTCTTCACCGCCAGAATAGCCAATGAGGTTCATCAAGTACCTGGTTCTTTGTCCTCCAAGCGGTTTGGTATTGATGTCTGCCATGTTGCTATCTGTTGGTACTTGTACCATCTTGAAGCCCTTTCTGTTCTGAATCCATAGCAATTTTCCATCCAAATGTCTCACTTTACAAGTTGGCGTGCACTCGAAGAATCTGTGAAGATGCATAATGGTCTACCTTTGTTCCAAGAGCAAACTCAAGAACTGAGCGAATGCAGTTTCCATCTGACGCTGAAGAAACTATTGCGTGTAACTCTGCTTCACATGAAGATAAGATAATGATCTTCTGCATCCTGCTACTGTTGAACAATAGACAACTGTTCAACGCAGCATGGAACCCTCCTGATGTTGATTTCCTGTGGCTCTCCAATCTGAGTCTGAGAACGTCTCCAGGCACCAATAGCCCCCCTTTCTTGACATAGCCTTCTCCTGCTTGTGGAAATTCAAATACTAGACAATAGTCATAATCTTCTTCAAGCATCCTTCTTCAAGTGATAAGGTGACATAGCTGTAGGGTTTGACATTCTGGAAGCCAGTTCCTTCACTGTGACTGCTACATCATACCTCTCTTGTCTCTTGACATAGGTGGATAATATACTTGATCCAACAACGCTTCTGACAAGGCTAAACTTCTCTTTCTCATGCAAGACTTCTGATTTGTCTCCATCTGAATTGAGCTGTCTGACGGTAACTGCTGAAGCTTGATCTTCCCAATCTGCTCTTCATGGGCTTTCAGCATCTGCTGGATATGGTTACCTGGCTGGACCCATAGTCCATAGTCCATCTTTCTCAAGATTGCACTTTCTCCTCAGGAAGTTGAACTCATCACCAACCTTCTCAATCTTGCTCACACTGGTTTCAAACCCTGTCTTGGGTCTTTGGAAGAAAGATTTCATTGATGTACTTTGCCTCTCCTGTGAAAATTAAGTCGTCCACATGGATCGAAATAATGCTCTTTTCATGTCTTCCCAGGCGTGGACACTCAGCACTGAACCTACAATTGGGTTCCTCGGTGAGGTGTGAAAAAGTCAAACCATGTTTTCAACTCTTTGTCCAGGTAAATTTCTCTTCACCAAGAATTCTTCTCTGCTCAAGTTCACTTTCAATGGCTTCTCTTGCAACTTTCACCAAGTTGATCCTAGCTTCTAGCTTGATTCGTCTGATGGCCTGAGCTCCTTCATTGGGCCTTCCTCTTCAAGCAAATCGAATGCTTCCCTTGGTCTTGACGGCGCTGATGATCGCTGATGGTGATCTCAATGAAGATAGTGTAGGAGTAACTGGATTAGGTTGTCCTGCTGGCAATGATGCAGAGGGTTCTCTAGTGTTTTCTCATCTGCAAAGAGAACTTTCTGTTTCTTACTTGGAGATTCTTCTCCTTTTCACCTCCATCTCTTTTCGTTGCTTCCATAAGAATTTCCAGCGGGGCTGGAATCGCCATTGGTTCTGAAGATTGGGTTCTTCTTTCTCTTAATCACCTTCTCCTTCAAGAGCTTTTGCCATCATTGCTTCTGCATCTTCATCCTTGAACTTCATCATTACACGCTCTCGGGGAATGTCTGTTTGTGCCTCTGCTCTCCTCCTTGTGGCAACGATGCTGCCTCCAAAGTTGGTTTGATATTCCCATGAATAGGCATTGAAACTTTGGTAGGTGGGTAAATACTTGGGCCAATCTTGGTCTGTACTTCTGATGCATGTGCTGAGCACTTCCCTCACGCCATCTTTAAGCACATAGGTGTCTTGTCTCAACCTTTCCCAAGAACAAACATAAACGCCATCTCGCTTCTCCTTTGTTGAGGCTTTTGATGAAACCGCGAACTGGTTCACCATATTCTGCTAGAAGCCCTTTGTAACGCCATAGACAAGCCCATAGGGAGTTGCACCCTTGACTGGCTGAAATCTATTCAGCGTCCAACTGGCATGTTTTGCTGCCCAAGCTCAAAGCGGATTATCTGATCTCTTCTTGATACCAAGTCTCGACTGCACACCTTCAATGAAAGTCCCTGCAAGCCTCCTCACCCTGTCAACTGTATTCTCTGACAGGAATGAATGATCTTTAGGGTTTGTCTTGTTGTGGGTTCATGGTCACTCCTGTAGGTAAATGCTGAATACCCCAACAATTGACTGAAACTCATCAACTCTTGCCCTGAATGACTCCAGTCTGGCTGTCAACTGCAACTAACCAACATACTGCTCTTGCTGACTTTGTCTCTGGATCTCTTGCTCCTGTGTAGCAAAAAGTCAAAGCTTACCTCAGGTATGCTTCCTCTCTTTACTCCATCTGTTCTCTCATGGCGATCTGGGCGTGCTCGATGCTGAATGCACATATCAAGTGGCATTGGGCATATGCGTCAACCTATGCCTTGCCTGAGTGGCTTCGTCTGGCATCTTTGCCACACTTTGACCTAATGCCTCTCTTGTTTCTTGAGCTTTTGCTTCACTCACCAAGCTTTCGGCATTCAAGAGTTACATCTTCTTGTCGTGATTGAGGATCTCTGTGTAGACCTTTAGCTTAGAGCCACTGCCTGAAATGCCCAGAAATTAACACGCTGCCCTCAAAGTTGCTGACGAAAATCCTTAGTCAACTCTATTCGATTCACCAAGACTTTGTCTACATCCATTGGGCTCACTTGTAGTTCACATTCAAGGTCTTCGTCTGTCTTTTCTTCTTCTCTCTGACCTTCTAGATTCTACCTCCTTGTCGGGTGGAGTAGTGGTAATCTCTTCGATTGCCTGCTCCACTTCTTTTTTTCTCCCTTCTCTGTTCTCAGGCTTCTTGTATCCTGGCGCAAAGAATCCCGTATCTTCTGGCGGCGCTGGCTCATAGCTGAAGATTGCGGGTGAAGGAATGACTGCACCGTCATGAAAGAATCGCTCATCAAGTTCCTCCTTTTTCATCATACTTTCGCAATATTTAGGCTTCCACTTCTGGAATGACTGCGGGATCCACAAATCTTGAAGTCAATAGGCTTCCAACTCGCAGTCCACGCTCATTGAATCTCCAACCTCCTGCCTTTTCCAAAGCTTCAGGTACTCGCGCCTCCAAGCAGCTTTCATCTTCATCTCGAATGACTCTAGCGCGGCCTTGAACTGTCAAAGAGCGGTTTTTGCAAGTTGAGTTGTACTTCCAAGTCACCATTCTCCAAGGTTTGCACTCGACCATTGATTCCCCAACCATGCTCCATCAGTCTTCCATAACAAAGTATGGGCTGGTTTACCTTTGAGCTGAAGATCACATTCTCTTTCAGAAGTGCTTCACGTCCATCAAGGTCACGCAAGGAAATTTCAACACCTTTCGCACCCGCGGTGGGGATACGGTTCCCCTGCCCAGCGCAAGACCAACTATCCTTCCTCATGGTTTGCCATACTCAAAGGGAATAATGCTACACCAGCTCCACTGTCAATAATGATGACCACATCCTCATTCTCTTCCCCAAGTCTCCTCACCATGGGTTCATCATCTGAAATGTCAATCTCCTCAAATTCTTGGAAGTCTGGCTCATCATCATCATCATCATCACCATTGTCATCATCATCTCCAATGTAGAAGTGAATCACTCGAATTCCAGGATCTTCTACCTCATCATCCCTTCCTCGCAAGTCAAAGATGATTGGCTCACTGTTCTCAAACCTTCTGACCACTGGTTTGGTCTCTGCCTCTGCTGTGCTACTCTGCTGGCTAACATTGGCATGTTTTTTGCCAACTGTATGAGCAGTCACTGATGCTCCTCCTGAAGATGAATAGGCTGGATCACTTGCAACCTGTCGAAAATTGTTCCTCCAACAGTTCGAGCAAGATGTCCTGGCTTTCCACAAGTGTGACATATTGCCACACTGTTTCCTTTCTGATCCTTTCCTTTACCTTTTCCCATCTGACCCCCTTCTTTTCCCTTCTGGTCTCCTATTCCTTCTTTCCTTTGCCTTTGGCATCTTTACCTTTGCCCTTTTGATGGTCATTCTTCCCCTGCTTAGCTTTTCCTTTGGCATCTTGGACTCGACCAATGTCCAACCAATGTCCATTGGCATGGGCCCTTGGTAGTCTGTACTGCTACTTGCCACCATGGAAGTAGCCCACTTCTGTTGAGAACGATCCCATTGCAACACTTGTTCCCTCAAAATTGAGTATTGAACATTGTCGCCACTTGTCAAATTCAAGTATGATTTGAGTTTTCCTCCAGCAGCTTTCAACTCTTCTTGAACTGCTGTTCCTGCCTTGACCGTCTCATCAAATACTTCTTCAAGCTTCAAAAGTTGAGGTTGCAGCGCACTGTTCATTGAAAAAATGCTGGCCATGTAGCACCTGCTCCCAAAAGCGCTAATCCTCTAGCTATTGAGGTTGGTTTTCAAGCTTTGTTCAAACTCCTCCAGGCATCAAACCCATTGAATTCCGCCACAGCTTTCACCAATTGCAGCGCTTCCCCTCATCAATGAAGTTAATAATCCATAGAGTTTGATGCACCTGGCCTTCTCTTTTGTAGTTGCCAAGTCCATGTCAAACTTTTCATTTGGCTTGTCATGAATCTCTTTCAAATCCTTCACGTAAGCCTCATCAGCTGCACTCAAATGTTTCTCAAGTACCCATGGCCACTCTCTAAATGCATTTATCTCTTCTTCTTGTGACTTGTAGTCAAAGATGCTGGGCTTTGCCATCAACTTTGACCTATCTGTTGTTGATGACTTCTTGTCTTCAACTGCTTTCTTCACTGCATCAGCTGCTGATGTTGTTGCCAGCGTTCTCTGTGAAGGATTTCCCTGATCTCCTCCATCTCCAACACACACTAATGTCTTTCGGACACAACGTACGGGGTACAGGGTGTCGCTCACAACAATTTCTCGCCAGTCCAGCTGTCCGGGTTCCACAGGCGCCAAATCTATGGCTCGAAATCTCACCCGGGATCCCAGTGACCTAGGGGCTTTTCTTTCTGGAGCTCGAAGGGGGTTACCCAAATCCTTGCTCCGCTACCACGCGAACCTTCTTTTGGTCCAAAGGGCTGCAGTGAGTCATCTATACAACCTTTGGTGTCAATGATGCTACTTATCCATACTGTGGTTTGTATTGAAAATGCTTCACAAGATTATATGCAATGAATGTGCCCATTTGCCCCTGTCTAGAAATATAAATCTGAAAACAAAACATAAAAATTTGCCGCAGTCCAAACCAGACGCTTCACCTCGGCTACAGCTGCGGTCTCCTTCAAGACGTCGAAAACTGTTGGCACAAAGCACACGCCACGGCGATTGAGCGCAGTGACTTGGAACTTTCGGTTCCAAGCTTCCAAGCACAGCGGTGGGTCCGCAAAGCCCAACGTCCATTGTCCATACCTGGCACCGAGAGCATCAGCCCAAAAGCTGATCTAGGACTTAGAAGTGCAACAGAAGGGCATCTTGGACTCTCCGCGCCTGCCCGGGTATTCATAGGAGGATGAAAGTAGGCAGCCACGGGTACTGTCCAAACGCCTGGACAACTCTTGTACTTCAGCGAGTGGATCTTCCACTTCCAAAACCTCCAGCTGGAGCTTTCACTGCGAAACTGATTTGGCTATGAAATTTTTGTGTATCTGTTTTTCTTGTTTGTTTTCTTTGTTTGTGTTTTTTTCGTTCTATTTCTTTATGTCGTTATTTCGCTTTTCATTTTTCCTGTCCTTTCATTGTTCACTTCCTTTCCTTCCTTCCTTCCTTCCTTTCCTTTCCTGTCCTATCCTTTCCTTTCCTTTCCTTTTTCTGTCCTTTTTCTGTCTGTTCTGTTCTTCTCTGTTCTGTCTTTCTTTCTTTTTCTCTCTCTTTCTCTCTGATATATAAATAAATAAAGAAATATATATATATATATATCCCTCTCTCTCTCTCTCTCGGCAGCGTCTGGCGACAACGCAGCCGTCCCACAGGGACACGCTCACGCTCTCTCTCTCTCTCTCTATGGCCTGGCCTCGGAGATGACGACCACATGCCCGGCTGTGACATAAGTCTGTGATCGAGGCTTGGGGCTGGGAGCTCCAAGGCTCGGCACCTCCTGCGCGAACGCAACCGTCGCCACGCAAAGGGTAGCATATATAATCATGCTGAAACATCAATTGCAAACTCTGCTAACCGATTGGTTTGAGAGAAGCACCTTGCCACCAACGGCGTGACTCCTCAGGCGCTTGGGCGATAAACCATTGCTCGCGCGCGCTTCCCGCTTCATGACTGAAAAGAACATGGTCATCTGGCTGTGGCTTCCACATGTGCAGGACCACTTGCACCAAGAAATGTACTTGTCAGCAAGCGTTCACAGAGCCCAATGGCGTTGCATGCGCGCACGCACATCGAGGGAGAATACAGCAAATCAGCAACAACCACAACCATAAGCAGCAAAAAGCAGCAACAACCGCAACCAGCAGCAGCAGCAGCAACAAAGCAGGAAAAACATGGAGGAATGACAAAAATTGTTGGCACAACCCTTGGTTTTCCATCATTTTTGAGAGGGCTGCAGAGGGCTGCGCAAAGGGAGCTGTGCTATCAATAATTTGTGTAAAAGGTTAAAAGGTAGCTGGTAGCAAGAATATGCATCGATCCCCTCAAGAGGCGCAGCTGGGAGTTGAACAGCGGGGGGGGGGTTAGCTTGATATATCCATTTTTGAGGCACGCAGCCCATCCCAATACATTGCTAAAGCAAAGAAGAACTCAGCTAGCATGCTAGCTTTCGTGATGTGCATGCACGTTTGCAAAAAACATGTGTCAACTCCAAAAAGCAAGGTGGACTCTACATGTTCAAGTTTGCCCCCAGGTAATGTAAGCCGTTGGGTTTCTTACTTAAAGAATCCATGGCCGTGTGCGTTACCACCACCGCTTTCGCCGGCTGGGTGTAGCAATTGGTAAGAATAGTTTTTTCGCGAAACGCATGCCTGTTCATATTCTCAAACAATTGCATTTGTTGAAATAGGCTCCCTCAACATTCCACAACCACAATTGTTCAATCTCAACTACGCAGAGTCTACTTAGCTATCTTCGAGACAAGTGAAAACAATGATTTCTGTAGATGTGCCACGTATATGCTCAAACATAGGTACAGCATAGGCACGGGTACAGGTACGCCTTGTCGGTGCGTGGTACTGGTACGGGTACGTCTTGTCGGTACATCAAACAGTGCGGGGTGCAGGTGCGGGTACGTCTTGTTGGTACGTCAAACGGTGCGGATGCAGGTGCGGGTACGTCTTCTCGGTGCGTGGTGCTGGTACGGGTATGTCGTGTTGGTACGTCAAATGGTGCGGGGTGTGGGTGTGGGCACGTCTTGTCTGTGCGTAGTGCTGGTGCCGGTACGTCTTGTTGATACGGTACGTCACGTCAACACTTGCGAGGGTACTGATATGTCATGTTGGTATGTCGCATAGTACAGGTGCATACAGGTGCATGGTATGCGTGAGGAGCGCAGATTGGTTTGAGGTGCAGGCCAAGGATATATGTGAGTCTGGTATGAAGTATGAACAGGTGTTTTGTGGTTCTGCTTCATGACCGGCTTGCAAGTTGCAAGCTGCAAGCAGTTGAATTTGCAAGCAGTTGCGAGCACCACATGCCGGCCTGTAGGGATGGCGTTGAGGTTGAGGCTCAGAAATATGATTCAATGGAGTCTAGATTCGAGATTCCAGTGTGACTAGACTTGAGCACAAGAGATTGATTGACCAAGAAGTCAAAGTGCACACCTCCCATGAACCTATCTAAAGCTTAAACTGATAATTTTAGAATTTAGAACTTAGACTCATACTAAGATTACCTCTGATGGTTGAGTTGGCTAGAAATAAGGGTTCCTCTTCAGCTTACTTGTTCCCTTTGAAAACATTGACATGGTTTAGCTTTTATCTGTTCAATCGAATTTTAGCGATTGATTTGTATAGCCACAGTCAATTAGAACTAAATAGAACTAAACTGAAGAGCATTATGTTGGACAAAGTTTTGCATTAGGACTCCTTTCGTTGCTTGATTCTAGATGCGGAGCCAATGCGGAGCTTGGCCCTTGTGCTTGCGCGGGCGTTGGGGAAACATGGTGTGTCCAATGCTGGTGTTAGATCGCGGCCTGAGCATTCCAAGCTCAGCCAAATGGCCCTGGTGCGTGAAGGCAGGGTTAACCGGCTAACCTACTTCATTCAACCATTGATCCCGAATCCAAAGATCAAAGTTGTCAACTGGAGGACTTGTAAAAAGAGAGCAGAAAGTAAACAAACGTACAGTAGAACTGAACTAGATACTAGAAACCATTGAACCCATCAGAGTCTTTGCAAGTTTCACTCGGTCGCGGAGGCAAAGCAAAGAAGAAAATTCAAAGAGTTGTCAGCCAGAAGTTTGACAAAGTAAGGACGAACTATATTGATATTGATATGCAGCATTAACAAGCACTTGCTTCAATCCACCTTGAGACTCAGACTCGGACTGTAGCCTTTTTAAAGACTTCAAGATCGAAGACATTTTAAGACTGAAGACTTTTTTCAATTCGATTCAAGCAGGCTGCAGGAAGCAATTGAAGAAAATCAACAGCAACTACGTAGTGCACAAAAAGGACTTAATCCAGGTTGAGGATGACAAGCTCCGGAATCTCAAGCTATCTGGGCGAGGCTTGGTAGAGCAGAGTGTCATACTTTTAGCAGCGATAAAACTTGCTCAGCTGGTTGAGCGGGGGCAGGTCAATATCGTTCGTGGACTTCGTCAGAGGGCCTAGACCTTCGAAACCCAAAACCATCAACAGGTCGACAGGTAACAGGACAGATTGACAGTTTTCAGCTTGAGGCTGGGGAGGAGCTTGGCAGGCATGGTGGAGGACAGAATTGTCAAGAAGAAGAATACCGCTGATGGCAATGACAACCAGAGACTGTTGAAACTTCCTCGTCTTAAGTCCAAGTCTCCAATAATTTTTTGGACTTAGACCTAGACTGACATATGAGTGGAGTTAAAAGTTAAAACAGACTTGTGTTGAGTCTCTGTTCATTGAATTGCGGAGTCTCTGCGGTGTTATAGGCTGCCTTCGCGCATGTGTTGCTTAGGTTCTCTTTGAATTCCATGTCCTACTGGTTGGGTTGCAGTTCAACAACTGTATCAAAGGCCATAGAGGGATGGTTAAGGGCCCATGCAGGAAACAGGAAAACAATTGTCATTTGCACTTGCTCAATTGGCAGTGTTGCTTCTGTGATATTGGAGCTAAGCAAACGACCAAACGACCCATGAGCCAGGCTCAAAAATCAGTGTGCAAAGTCTGCTTATCGACGCAGAAGTCCGTGCTTCTGGACACGTTGAGTTGCCGAGAGGAGCAGCTTGGGAATGCTTTGGGGTTGGGGGTGTTCATAGTCTTTCATTGGCTTAGACTCAAATTGGTGTAAGTCGTATCAGGCTACAGTGATAGGCTTACACATCGAGTTCGATGAAACTGCCCCGAAAATGCAAGTCCGGTCAGACCTGTGTTCGACCACTACCAACATGGCAGTCTTGGCATGGGCCCTGTCCGTTAGTCAGAGACTGATGACACCTAGGCATCACGCACCACATTCTTCTCCACCAAACCTGAAGAAGGTTCCAGGACAACCGCCTTACAGTTGCGAGACTCTATTATATAGTTTGAGCTCAACTGACATGAGTGAATTCGTCAGTTCATTTGAACATTGAACTGAACTGTAGTGTTTTGTGAATTTGCTTGCTTTATTGTGATCTTGGTTTCTGACTGAATCTTGTCTTTCCTAAACTGCCTAGATCGTGAACCCACCAGCTGTACTACGACGGAAAACTGCTAAAGCATTATGGACTGGCCTAGTGGCGAAGCAGCCTGTCGATCCTCTCAGTATTTTGACTCAGATTCAAAACTCTTTTGGATTGCAGTGGAGATGAAATATTCCAGTGAGTTGGGCGTATCCAAGTGCCTATCCACGCAGTGTAGCCATGTAGCCAAGGTGTGGCAGGGCACAGCAAAGTGTTGGTGTTGACGGCCGTGTGTGATTCAGCAAGCGCGAATCTGGCTATGGTCACGCGAGTTGGAAAATCATCGCCTGATCATGTACTTGCCAAGGGCCTAGCCTCTGTCCAGTCAAGTTACAACAATGTAGCCTAGTCACGTCATCAGACTTTGCACTGAAGTCACTGAAGTTTTCAATAAGTCTCTCCAGTATTCGTTAGTAGACTTTGGCTTCCAGACTCTAGATGTATGACGCCCCCATGAACGTTTCGGGTCTCAGTTTCAGTCGCTGCATGTGTCTCAGGTTCCAAGGCAAGCTTGTATCCTGCCTGGACCTTGGAAAAGAATGCAGGAAATCGATAGAGAACAAATGCAGTACATGGCAATGGCTGCTGGTTGATTGAATTGGTATGCGTTGTTCTGAGGCACGAGATCAACCATTGCTCTGAGATCACCCTCAAGACGCTCAAGGATTTACCCGAAATGTGAACCTTCTCAAACAAATTGAGAAAGCAATGCATGCTGCACAAAGCTTTTCGCTGTGTGAGTGTGTACAGAGTTTAGATAGACTTATAGTGTTTGCGTGGACTTGATTTGTGTTCTCAGTGCCGCCTCTCGGAGACTGTCGCGAGGTTTGGGCTATCCTCGATCCTGAGTCAGGGCAGCGCATTCTATGATTTGCTCTTGCACGCGCGCGCGGTTTTGAATGCAACTTTGGTGGTGTCGTATGATGAGTTCACACCTCAGCAGCAAAAGTGTTTACGTTTCTGACTTCCCACTTCCCACTTCCTTTTGAAACGGATTTGGTGTGGCTGTGGTAATTGCTGATAACTTTCTTCTAGGCCATCTGCAAATTATGCCGGATATGCACGCAGCACGCTTCAACAAAGCTTTTTGCGAAGAGTTGACCTTAGCAGACTTCATTCACTCAAATTCAAACTGCAAACTTCATTCCTGGTATGCCCTCTGACATGCCCAGGCCCGAAATACCAAGATGAACAGGAGTTGTCAAGACCCCAAAGAAGAGGAAATTGAGCTGTTGCTGTCGCTATGCAACGGTGTCAGGGGCTCACTCACAGCTTTGTGACACACATGAGACATGAAGAGAGTGAGTTAGTTAGATGAGATGGATGATTGTTACAGTAATTCAACAAGTTTCTTGTCCTTGACTTCTCAATCACTTGTCATTTAGACTTAGTCAAAATCAATGAGGACTGGCGAAAGCCACAAATTGTCCATCACTGTCACCTGGGTTGCTGCCGAAATCGTGACGAATCATGTGAAGGGCTTAGCAGCTTAATCATGAGAGGAACATTGAGACTTTCAGTTTGCTCTGTAGTGTTTAGGCCTGCGTTTGTGGCTCTCTATAGTAGCGGTTGTGCTTGGCCCTGAGACCTGAGTAGTTTTATGAGTTATACTCTTCCCGCTTCCAAGGTTCCCTCATCGTCCAGCAATACCAGTAATTAGTCTGTGGACGTGTTGTGGTGACGCCATTCGATTCTATTTGCCTTAAGCCTAGAAGTTGCGCCTGCGCACCTATCTTTTACTGCTCTCTGACTAAGAGTGCTTGTTTTGCCAAATGGCCAACTTGGCACGGACTAATGTTTCATCAGTCTCATCAAAATGAGTTTGCTTAG